CACCACGACCTGCACTACCAGATCTCTCATTTTGTCGACATTTCGTACTATGTCTTGGATTGTAATGATTTTTATACTTCTTAAGGTTCTCATTTCGGTAGTCTTCATTGTGGTTTTTGTGTGGGATGTTTCGGCGCTAATTTTAGCATAGGTTTTGTGATACCTCTGTAATTCGCTAGATTACTTTTTCACCCTCTTTATATGTGGGAATCGTTATGCTTGTCTTCCAATCTTGTGGTATTTTGCTACTTTTTATGATCTGGATGAATTTTGTTATTTCTATTCCTATTGGTGGTCCACCATGCTTAATCAGTTCGTTTGGAATGTTGTCTAAACCAACGGTGGGCAACCTCCGGCCCGCGTAAAGTTCCAATCTGGACCGCGAAATCTTAACAAATAATAAATATTTCCAAAAATGAAATTAATTGCCACGCACCAACTTCGAGTATGTTCAATTATTGTCGAAAGAGTTCGGCAATTCATTTCTTTTTTCGGGGAATCCCTCATGTAGTCACGTAGTAAATGAATGGACGTATTGTGGTAAACAAAATATAAGTAACAAAAACGTGTCAATGTACTAGTACGTCCCGCGGAGATAACATAAATATTATTCTGGCCCCTGTTGTACAACCATTTAAACAACCATAACCAACGAAGAAATACGGCGTCTAGAATATGTAGAAGGAAGAAAAAGAGGGCCCTTAATAGAAAAACACAAGAAATGGTAGAATATCGCTACAAAAATGAGAGTATAAGGCTTTATAGGAAACTGAAAAAAAGCACGAACGTTTTTAGAACTAAGATAAATGCATGTAAAGATAACTAAGGAAATATTCTTATGGAGAGAAATGACATTCTGCAATAATGGAAGGAGTATTTAGAGAGTATCTTGAACGGAGAGAGAACCGAAACAGCAAACACTGAGTATTTCACAGCGGATACCAGGAAGTGATGGAATAACGTCAGACCTGCTCAAATTTGGGGGGAGGTATTGTAGAGGAGGATACATGACTTAATCGTGATTCGACGAATGGTGGGTCATAATGACCAAAGGTTTTGCCAGTTAGGGTTAAACGATGTTATGACTCATACTATTTAATTCGAAATTTATTCTTAGCAGTAAGTCAGGCAATCAGCGCTTGTGTAGTTTATTTCAATTGCATCGAAAAAATGGAAAATACTTAGAATTTTAGTAAATTTGTTGCAAATGAAGAGGACCATTAGTTTTAAGAGGAAGAACCATGCAGTACAATAAGTGATGTGGGACCAGAAATTCATAATAGTGATATATTTAGTGTCTCAGAGTCGTTGAGAAAAATAGTCAAAATGTAAAATTTATGCAAGAATGTTTCAAAACATTTGTGATCTACGATGTAATTACAAAACTTGTTACAGACGCCAATTATAAAGCTATTACCTTTTCATGTATTTATTGTCAAATTTTGAAACCAGAGAAGATAAATTATAGGTAAATTAGCACCTACACGAAAGGAAATCTTACGAGGCGTCCAGTAATAGTATTATGGATGAACAACTAGAGGCATATTGTGAACGTTATCGTTTCAAAATTTATATACAATCAAAAGCAGCCAAGGATGGAATAAAAATATGGTCACATACTACTGCTGTAATTTCAACGTTTATCTTGAAACAATTGGACAAATTCCTGAAAAAGAAATCTAATTGTGTAATAACTACAGATAATGTTTGCTTTCACGTGGAAACAATTCTACGAATTACAAAAGATACTCCAAAATCTTTAGTTCATGGTTTTTATAGAGAACAATATTCACAACAATTTCTATTTACAAATACGTTAACTTAATAGTAGTTACTTAATAGTTTCATATGTACTTAAAAAATGTGTTGTTCTACTTTTTAGTAGAACATAAATTCAGTTTATCAAATTCTGAAAATAATTTCAAACCCAAAGTTATAAACTACACTTATTCAACTAAAGGTGGAGAAATTCTTGATACATTTTTAAGACTAATACATGTCGTGAATATATAAGACGATGGCCACTGTCGTTATTTTTACATTTTATAGATATTGCAGCTTATATGTATGTAATTTGAATGATCAAAAATCCTGAATGGAAATTCAAAACTCTATGAAAAATGAAGGAAAACTGTCTCTTAAAATTTTAACAAATGATTTATTGAATTAATTATTAATATTGAATGACGACATATTGAGCATCAGGATTTCAAGTTTACTTGCAAAATGTACGTTCAACTTTACAAGTATGGGGTAAAATGAAGATGCAATCAATTCGTTTGAAGACCAATACATTCTTTCTTCAAGTTTATTTACAACACATTGAAGAATTTTTACTGCATTTGATGAAGTTCTTGGTTGTTATTCTTTGGTATATTTATTTGTTTCATTTTCAAATTATGTCTAAAGAAATGTTTGAAATATGCCCAAACGTTTGTAACTTCTTTTTTTTTGTACGTTTCTATATTTGTGTCGGAAATCACAAATATATACCACATTATTATTTTTTTTAATAGTTTATTGATAGTTTTGTTTAATTTTTATGTTTACAGCAAACCGAGTTTAGAAACACGAATCCTACAATTCTTAAACCTCTTCCTTATTTCATTATTATTTTTAATCACATTTTTATTTTCTTCTTTTCAATTATAGAGGGAGAGAGTAGTTTTTGAAATTTTATTATTGCGCGTCTTGAAAGTGAGTTTTTTTTGATAACTTTTGAGGAATGAATACGCATACACGAGTTGATTCTTCCTCTTTTGAAAACCAGTCTTTGTTGTGTGCGGATTTTTACCTAAATTATATGTCGACATTTTGCCAATAGTTCGCGTGTTGAATTTTGGGGTGACTTATATCCGTTTTTATCGAAAAGGAAGGTAACAATCGTTTAATTTTTCGTTTGAAAATTTGTTTCAACGATCATGGTTTTACCGGATTTGTAGCAAATTTTTACAAAGATTAAATCATCTTACTGGTTAAAACATCAGACCATCTTGAGGTAGGTTTAAACATTTTCTATTTTATTTTTTTATTCTAACTTATCCTACTTAATACTATCCTAAACCTAAATTCTTTCAAACTCCTTTCATCCATGCTAAATAAAATCACCCATTCTTCCTTAACTACTACTATTTACGCATTTACAATATTTTTTTAAGCTATATCTTTAGAAAAAGAATGTAGGCAAATTTCCCATCTAGGAAACAAGCATATCTGAAAAATAAGAAGTTAATTCATTTCAACATAATCCAAATATCCTGTGTTTACCTTCGACCAAGTGTTTGATAAAAATGTTTTTTTAATAATAGCTGCGCTTTGCGCGTATTAACTATAAGGAAAAAACAAAGTACCATTAAATTCTTCTCTTTGCTTCACAACTCATTTTTTTTCATGTTAATACTCCAAGGTGTTAAAAAGTTATTATAAAAAATTCAAGGGAGTTGTGAATTTCATTCCTTTAGAGGGCGCTAGGGAAGTTTAAGGTTTGCTTGAAAATAAGGTACCAGCAGTAAATACATACAAAATTTCAAATTCTTCGGTTTACTTATAGCTGAAATATAAAATAAAATGTAAATTTTTGGCTCAACTTTGACAGCTGATAGCTAAAACAAAAGAGTTGCGACCCTACTTTTATATAAAAAACGCTAAGTGCTACGTCCTAGTAAAGTTTCCCGATTAAAATTTGAACTACCCCTATATTACTAATAGATGAGTCATTTCATAGTTTGTTTACCATTAATTCTTATGAATATATTTTTTAGATTTCTTAAAAAAAAGGGATATCTCAAAAATGGCGGCAAAATTGGCTCAGCTATCGGAATATTCCAGAAAACATGAAAGAGTGGAAAAGAAATGCATGCAGAAATAGTAGCAAGAAAACCTTTTAAGATGTAAAGACAGTTTTAGTAGAAGGGTTAATATTGGGTTAATATTTGGGGTGTATTGAAGTGGGTGGGGAAATATTTGAACATTTATTTAAAATTTTATACTTGTTGTTGATTAATAGTATAGTTTAATCATTTTTTTATAAACAAACAATATTTAAAACTATTTGAAAAAAAAAATTATTTAGATTTAAACTACTAAAGATAAATTATTAGAAAAAGTTAATGAAAATAATAATACGTAACGGTCGAATATGTAATTGACATCATGGCAAAAAATGCGGGGCACACAGTATAACACAAGTGCATTATTTCAATTTCGCTCTGAGCATTTTAACGTGTCCTGCACTTGTGTTGTTTATTACGATAAGATAGCTGATGATGAACATAGTTAGAAACTAGTCCTGTCATTTAAATTAAAGAAATATTACCGGAAGCAAAAAGTTTTTTCTTAATTATATAGTATTATTAGATGGACCTACACAAACACAGTATTACGACTGCCACCTTACCATTGCGTCGTAAATCCTATAGAATTAATCTGGGGCAACTTAAAGAGGAACATAAGAAAACACAATACATCTCCGACGATAAGTACCAAAGTTGTGGATTTAAGAGTCCTGCTTCCACGCGTGGGAAATTAGAATTGGGAGGCCGGGTTAAAATAGGGTGTGGTTTTAAGAGAAGCATGAAACAGAGATAAAAGGATATTGTTGGCCAATAAGATATCAGTAGTTATTCGTAGAAGACGACTGTAATAAAAAAAACGACTAGGCGGTGTCTGATTGTTCTTACAAAGAACGCCGCGCAACGGGTTTAAAACCTTGTGGATTGTGACTGTAAGAGGTAAACAAACGTTTGATGTAGGGTAAAATAAAAAAAAGAAGTTTTATTAGTTTTATTATCATGATATCTAAATATAAAAAGTGAGAAATTATCTTTTCTATATGGTTGGTACAAACTCCCGGAATGGTCAAATATCGTTGTTACTTGAGATTTTTTTTAATAATATATGTATAGTAAATGACGAATTTATTACAACATTCAAATTTTTTTTTTCGCTACCATTCTTGGCCGAAAATGTCATTTTTTTAGAGAGGATCCCAATAATTTTTTTCATTTTTGAATACAACATAAAAACTCCTTTCAGAAATTGCAACAAAAATATTAAAAAATTAGTGGGTATTCCATTCAAAGAAAAGGAAGTATTTTGTATGAAACTGTTCCGGGCCTATTTGTACTATCCCGGTATAGATTTCATTGAAAGAAGTAATTTTCGATATCATTGTAGTTCTTTTATACTGTTACTGATTGCGTGGTCGTTTTCGATTTATCTGCGCTGCTTTTATAAAATTTGGTTCGCGAATTGGTAGGTGACGAGTATGCCGTGGATCAACTAATTCTGGTAACATACATTCTTTATAAAATCTTAGTAATTTAATTTCCATATTTGTTCTCCAAAACTGTTTATCTCTACGAATGTATGCTACTTTCATGGGAATGTTGTGTCCTGTCCAAATTGCAAATAAACATCCTTTTCTCCCTGTAATTTGTAATTGACCTTGAATTTGGTAAAACCATTTATCCTTTTTGTTGATATCAAAGGTATTCGATGTTGCATTGAAAGTCCAAAAGTTAATTTTTTTCTGTTTGATTGCTTCTTCGGGGCACGTTTTGTATGCAGAGAAAGGACACTTCACTTCCACAACTAGATCATCTCCGACTAAACCGTCAGGTGTGGCTCCTAAAAAGCAGTACTGTGAATCTACAAACAAACCACATTTCTTAATTTTGACATTTTCTTGTACTTCTAGTTGCCTCAATGCTATACCCTCATTATTTCTTCCATGTTGCACTGCTTTGGATTTAATTGCCGTACCACAATAATATAAAATACGTTTTACCAAATTAGCGCATAATGTCGTATCTTTTCTAATACATACAGGGTAAAAATTTGATGCAGTTAATAATTTCCTTCTTTCTTCGAGCCAGTAACCACTTTCTGCTTGTAAAGTAGAATTCCTTTCCAAGTATTCCCGTTGAGTTGAAGTTCTTTCCATATTTTTTAGGAACTTGTTTATTTCTTGCTCTAAAATGTCGGTATCTAGGTCAGGTTTCAAGCTGTTATCTCCGTAATCTTCATCATCAATTTGCGATTTCTGCAACTTTGTCTTTTTTTTACCCATAAGTTTTAGTTTCTTTGCGTTTTCTCTTGATCTTCTTCTTCTTTTTTCCAGGTTTTCTACATTTAAGTTTTTATGCGCAAATGGATGTGTTTTACTAACAAGCGAATGAATTCGGTTTGAATTAAATGATATCACTGCGCCTTGACAACGAGTTTGATACGACCGTTTTTGTGAAAAGTTTATTCGTTTGCCTCCAACGAATTTTGCAATTATTGCATGAAATTGCTCAACTATGTTGCTGTTGACTTTTTCTAGTAAGCTCCTGCTATGGTTTGAAATTGAGGATATAATTTCATTCAGGCGACAATATAATTCAGGACACTGCGTTTTGATTTCTGAAATGTAGTCATATTCATTTTTTGGTTTACAGAAATACGTATCACACATCGCATGATTACCAAATATATGATTTAGCGAATTATCGATATCTTTCTTTAATAAATACACCGCACTTTCATTTCTTTCTTGCTTTCTGAACTCGACTGCACCGTTAATCGCTTTTCGGAATCGTAAAATGTTTTTTGTAACAAATTTTCTATACTTTATAGGAAATCTTGTATCTTTCGATAATGCAGTTAGTTTATTACAAAAATTTCGCAGAAGATGATTGGAACATTCTATCTTTTGTACCGTCAGGTTTTTATAAGATCTAGCATTCAATATACGTTTGTATGTACTGCTATCTCCATCAGCAATAAGGGTTGCAAATCGCACCCCATACAATTCTTCGCTCTTACGGAAGCCCTCTACCAAACCATCAGCTTCCATTCCCGTAGAACTTCCACTATAGTTTTTGTAACAAATGTGCTCTTTATTTTTGTCTCTTGCACATATACAACAAAACTTATTTCTGATGGCTAAGTAAAGAACTTTACCGTATTTCTGCCCAACGATGGCAGCAGCGCCGGAAAGAGCGTTATAATTTTGTCTGTACGACCTTTTGCTCCAACAGCCATCAGCTACAACCGTGACTAAAGGTGTACCGTCAGAGTCGATCATGCCGTTTTGTCTAGCATATTCAGCTTCTTCCATAGCAGCCTCCTTCATAACTTTAAAGGCCACACTTTCCCACGTTTCGGCAATCTGGTTCTGACATTTTAGATATAACTTTGATGACATGAAGGGAATATTCAGTACAGAGAAGACTTCTTCCATATTAGAAAATCCACTCCCAATGCTGGTTGCACATTGTACCAAATCTGTATTCACGGTGTTACGAGTGGTTTCAAGATTGAACTTGCTATTGCACATATTGCAATGAACAGAAAAAGATGACTTCAGACCCAATTTATGTTCTTTATCAAATACTAAGTTAGCGAATGAACAACCAAAGTGAAAACCATGCTGACTTATTTTTAGCAACTGTTCGTTGTAATATTCAAAATCGATTATTCTTCTGCCTTGTACTTGAATTGGCCTGATATTATCGTCGATACGTTCATCATTTGCTATCAAATGAAGATTTTCTTCGTTGGGTTGTAACTCTCGGTTTAAATCTACAAATTTATTTTAAATTTAATCTACAAATTTACGAATTTTATTTATTTTGTTTTATTTTTTTAAACAACTTCAAACTTACCCAATAAGTGTTCACTATCATCACTTTGCATCGGGAGCTTATGTAAGTTGCTAACATTACTAGTATCTAAAGTGGAGAATTGATATTTTGTTAAATTTAGATATTTAAATTTTCAGTCTTTTTCTAGCAAATTTACCTGAGAATAACTCTGTAATCCGTGGATGAAATGGTACGTCAATATTATTGACGATATCCAGAATTATAGATTTTACAAATTTTTCTGTCCTCGCAGTCTTTAGTTTTGTTATATTACCACCCTTGTGTTTTTTGTTAAAACTCACTTTTTGTCTATTTTGGTTTCTACGTCCCATTATCACCGTCTAAACTCGGCACAATTAAAAACACACAATAACCACCAACAACAACAATATCAATAAACAATAACGAGCAACAATAATAACAACGAACACGGGAGCCTCTGGAAAAGTTAAACAGGAAGTAAAATGCTAACAAGCGTTTCTTAAAGATTACTGATTTTATAAAGCAATACAAAATGCACCTGTTTCTTGACCCGGGTACTATCGCCTAGATGCCTAGACATCTTGTCTAGAGGGCGGAGTTAAAATCTAGAGGCGGAGATGTAGTACGAATATAAGTTAAAAATTTGTTGAATGTGGATACTTTTGTGCTTTATTCTAGACGCTTTAAAAAACGTATAATGTGTATGATTTTTTTTACAATTTATAGTTGAAGGAACAAAGAATAAAATGACTAAATTTGTTTTTGAATTTTTTACATCACAATACCGCAAAAAACGTTTGAAATTTGTCTTAAAAATGAATTTTCCTTAATTTTTTTCTGACTTTCAGGCAATAATTTTGAAAATGTAATGTAGTCATTTCATAGATATGGTTTTGTTCTATTAGTATGATTTTTTTTATTTCATAAATTCGACTAGTGTGGCCTCTGCGTTAAAGCACATTTTAAAGAAATACCCTATCTTAACTTTCGGTCGATTCCCTCTTAATATTTCATCCGAATTGTGGTCGCAGTATGTGTCGCCACATGCACAGCGTTTTATTATTACTGTTGATGATTCTTCTGATGACGACAACTTAGAATGCGCGGAAAGTTAGAACTGTTATGACACTGATGAAGCAACTTGAATTAACGATAATCGCCGGTTAGAAATATTAAATAATTGAAAAATAAAATCTGTCTAAAAAGCAGGTAGTACATTTTTTAAATAATTTATGATTATAATTTTATTATATGTATAATTTATTATGTTTTCACTCTAATTTTAAGATAATTGTGGTCTCTTTGGAACAACACTTATAAAATAATAAAATTATAATGTAATCTTATAAAGAAAGTTTTTTATTGACTTCTTGTCTTGTTATTTTTACATATATTCAACTTTTTGTTTTTTTAATATGCAAGCTGGCGTTACATAGCACGGTACACTTACTTCCCCTGCGAGAAAAGCAAATTAAATTTTTTTTAGAAAAACTAATGAACTGACGCACTAAAATGTACAATTTTTTTTGTGTTTGTATTAAATCAATATTAAAATGAGGGATTATCTCGTTAAAAAGAAAGCTGGTTTCAGCAAATCGAGGTTTACATTTAATTCTTCATATCCTTTCATTATAACGAAAAATGTTAAATATCTCTTTATAACTCTGAAGGCACCTTCGTACCTAGGAGACAAGATAGGTTTAATACCAGTGATCTTAACAAAAACAAAGTTTGAGCTGAACAATTCCTTGTATATAAAAGGTTTTCGGCTGGTATGTATGGTTGACTGAACTGGTTTAATGTCAGCAAAAGATGATTTTAAACTTCATGGTAATGGTTCAGTTTCAATGATGATGATGGTTCGGTACGCGTGAAAAATTCTTCCGGTAATCTGAGTGGCTGATCATAAATCAATTCTGCAGATGAACAACCTAAGTCCTCCTTCAGAGATGATCTGAGACCATCATAATCTTTATTGTGTTACAAATACAATACAATATGTTCACACTTGTCAAATTTTACATATATTATGTAGTGTCATATTAAAGAAAAAAAATAACATATAAAATTACATAAGATTACAATAGACAACATTAAGTGCTAAAGGTGGAAATCATCTCAAGACTGTCACTCATATATTCGGAGGTCGAGTAGTACCGCCCTTGTAACAAGAGTTTGTTTAATATACTCTTTAACGCCCTTCAATGGCAACTGACGGACGTGTAATGGCAATTTATTAAAAAATTTCACCGCCAACGCGTTCACACTTTTCTGGCATTTTGTTAATCGTGTATATTTGGGTATCAGATCGCTATTTTTTCTAGTATCATAGTTATGCACCTGCTCATACGTGTTAAACTTATTAATGTTCTTTTTAATATATGTAACACATTCGAGAATGTAGAGAGACGGTAGAGTTAATATTTGTAAATCAATATAGGAGCTTCTACAGTCGTCTTTATAATTTAAATTTCTTAATATCAGTATAGCCCTTCTCTGCATTCTAAATACGCATTCAAAACCAGCAGCAGAGCCCCAGACTAACAATGCATAAGTCATTGAGGACTGATACAGCGCAAAGTATGCTGTGCGTAAAATTAAAGGAACTTATTAAAGGTAAGTTGTGGTTTCCCCTAGCGGAATTACCTTGGGCAATAATCGCTGATTTCAAAGTACGATGAAATCATTCTATCATACTATTTATTTTGTTGAATTTAAAACAAAATAAAAAAAGAAGTGCGTCCCTGCACCTAGTTCGTTACGAGGGCCCATCATAACTCACGTCCAGGTACTTTTTCGGGGTGATAATTACTGCCAATACTGTATCTAAGGGTCATAAAAACCACCAGAACTATCGGAAGCTATACGTATTTCATAAAACACCAACTAAAGACTTTACCAATTGTTGTTCTCTTCAAATCGTCGGTTTCATCTCTTGTCAATCTGGTATAACCTTGCCATAATTCACTTCATAATTTGTTTAAGGTTAAAAACATAATTTAATCGAAAAATAAAATCGATCATAATTAATTGCTCAGTCTTGATTTAAATTATAGAAATTTTCATAAAAAAAGGAAAGACATTAACTGTAAAAATGCAGCTTTATTAATTATAAACTAAATAATAACAACAGTTAAAACATTAAAATAATTCACTTATATTTTTTTTCTTGTTTATCTCTAATAGTTGACCAAGAGAGTAGCGATGCGCGAAAATTTAAAAGAGGCACTTTTCTACATCTTTTTTTGTTTTGTATATGTACAATTACTCTTCTGGAGAAATCAATTTTAACCAACGAGTACCTATCGGTTCGTCACATTTTGGTACATAGTATGTTTTTATAGTTTTTAATGAAAAAGGTACGGTGTTTGTAAGTTATGTGGTATAATATTTTCATTTTTTGTTTCTTTTTGAGTTTAAAAACGTATCGAACACGTAACGAAAACTAAAGAAAAAAACAACTCACTTACAATATAAATATCTATTTTTGTTGTTGTTGTTTTCTTTTTTTTTGTTTTGATCACCCCGTGTAGTGTTAACATTCCCTAAAGATCAACAGCGATGAGCACTTTTGGTAAAAATATTTTTTTTGTTTAATAAATAGAACATCTCGACACATCTTGAACGAACTGCAATGTGTTTTTTAATCTTTTTTTACTTCATTATAGCTTTTTTCTCTTGTTTAATTATTACTCGTTTTCTTTTCCCTAAAATGTGTGTGTTTATATTCACTAAGTTCGTATCTCGTTTACAACTAAAACTTCTTGTTTACATTTTTTTTTGTTTAAATATATTTTCTACTGTCGTATAACAAAGCATCGAAACTTCAGTCTAGGCTAGGATCTTGTTACATGGCAAGAGGTTTTTCATTTTATTTCTTTTTTTTGTGAAACCTATCTCTTTATCTCGTTTTTTGTTTGATCAAAAAGTATGAGACTTAATTGATGCTTATTAATTCCTTTTAGTCTACTTATTAATAGTTTTTTATTCACTTTCTACGCATAAATACAAAACTTTTTGCAAATTCTTTTAAGTTTTAAGAAAATGGTTCAAAATGGTTTCTTTTTACATGAAATTTTTTATTGGACTTTTTGTATTATTTAAATAGAGAAAGTACATTTTTGAATTTTTAAAATAATTTGCAAAAAGTCATAACTAAAGTTAAATATATTACAATATATTTAATAATCAGTCAGCTACTTCGTACTTAAAAATTAAAAGATTCGACGAACTAAGCCGTTTTGTGTTTTTTTATTTTTCATTTTTTTTCTTGTTACGCTTTATTTTTACGGTAAAGCTCACGTTTATTATTAGCGCTTTTCGTTCTCGAAAAGTTCATTATGAAGAGAAAATGAGTTTCGCGATCACTTTTTAATAAAACGTTCAGAAGTGTTTTTCTTTTTCTTGAACGTCGAATCGCTGCTATTTCAACTACTGTTGATGACACTTTATCCTTCTAATATGCAACGTGTTTTTCATTTACTTTTTTTTTATTTTTGCTTCTTTACATGGGGTCAATAATTACAGCAATAATAAATACCTAACAATCAACACGTCTAAAATGTATAAATACACATCATTAATAATAGTAATAAATATCAAGCAAATCAGATTAGAGTTTAAAAATTAAATTAATTAGTTATTAAAAAAAACATTTCTATAAAGTTTTAATATAAACTTCCTTGTAAAATGATAACGTTTCATAGATCACAGCTAACAATATGGAGTCTCTCTTTTAATTTTAATTTCAAATTCCTTTTTTTAAATGAATTTATTAGATTCGTTTATCATAAAGAAAAATTGTTTTAAAAATGCTTTCTACATTGTTAGTCGAAAGTAAACATGTTAATTACGAACATATCGAACAAGTCGTATTCTTACTTTTATTAATAAAGGGCGTTCAATAACCGCTTCCAGCTGAATTCAGACGATTTTGAGAAGAAAGGTTTGGTAATTTATGATTTTCCAAAGTGGACACATTGCCACCTAGTTTTAAAATTTTAAAATTGATTATTGCTTAACTAATAGTTTTTATATTCAAAGTCTTGCATTAATTGATTTTTAAGCAGATGTTCAAAAATGTTTGACATGGATGGATTGGGTTGTTCAGAATTTAGTGGATTGTCAATGAATGCTGTCTTGATAAAAATGACTGATACTGGTTATAAGTTCTACGGTAACTATAATATAATATACTGGATTGTCCAGAGATCACCAATGGATTTCCTATGGAAATACTATCTTCTTGGTTTCTATAACAGAGATTGGTTAAGATGACTTGCTTATCAATTGAAAATATTTTGTATAAAAGAATCTTTTATACAGTAGTAGAGATATTTAGGATAGTATATTTAAATCTCTCTGTGCACTCCAGAGATCACTAATAGGTTGCATATGATCCATTAAAGATGTTTGGAGCAATGATATTTAGGATAGTGGCAAATCTGAAATAATTCGCAACGCGGTCTTCTGGTTATATTTTTAGAATTCTGAAAATTTTGAGAAATTACTACTAAATAAGTTGTTATGCAAAATAATAAGCAGCCAATACTACAGGAGATGTAGTATTTCTTTGAGATTTGGTTTCAATAGTCCAAGGGAGGTTCTCAGAATTTTTATTAAAAAAGCTTGGCGTTTTGTAACCACCAGCAAGTTAAATGAGGAAGTTGATGTAAAAATTAAACAATTCTTATCTACCTTTTGGTGTAATCATTTGAGAAGTGCATTCATAAATAACAATGTTTTAGCTATTTCATCCCACAAACGAATGTTTACTTGATATTATGGAACATTTGACCAAGTGGCACAACATAAACTTGTATTGCATTTAAATAGTCGATTGGAGGCATTTGTGTCATAGCACAATAGTGCTTTCGAGTTTAAAAGTTTGAATGACCATCTAGAAAATCAACTGCATATCTACCGAGACCAAAGTGAGGATATATAAATATGTCAAAATTAGCTTCCGTTAGGCCATTAATGCAATTTACTGCAGCGAAGTGTGCAGATACAACGAAAAGACGAAAAGACTGGTGTGAATCAACGAGATGACGATTTAGATAACAATATGGATCAGAGAATGTGGTAAAATGGATGGAATCTCTGGAATGAGCACGTTTCACGAATGGAAAACAATAGACTGCCAGAAATTACAGACTAGCATCCAAATAGCCGTCAGGACGACCTCCAAACAGATGAAAAGATTGTCTGCATCACAAGAAATGCAAGCAGAGCAGAATAAATAGGACCAGCCGATACGGCTTCCGCAAACAGGAAGAAGAAGTACCCTCGTGAAGAAATTTTCACTCGTAGTGCCAAAAAACCATTACAAAGAAAAAAAAGCGGTTTTTAATAAACCTTTACTTTAAGTTCTGGTAATTTATCTTTAATATTTCAAAAATGTACCAAGTAAAATCAAAAGAAATTCGTTAACTCTGATAAAAAAACTAACTGTTATGATGCCCTGATGCACCTTAAAATTTAATGATATTATCCAACTGGCTACAGTGTGCCAAAGTGTACAAAAAGCAAATTATGCAGTACTTTCAAAGGTGATTCTGGTTTAATAAGAAATAATCATTTAGGGATAAATAGAGATTAAAACTACTCTAAATCAATTACAACATATTGAAAATTTAATAAATAAGTAAACAAAAATCAGAGCTAGGGTAAGGTCTTGGTTGGTAAAATGAAATAGTATATAAACAGACACAAAGTCAATTCTTTCTCTTTTCGTTTTCCTAATAAAATTTAAATTAATTTTTTTATCCCCTTCTCACAAGGTTCCCAAATATCGGCAAAATTGCTTAACCACATACAAATGGCGTCAAAAAATTAAACTCATCGCAGCAAACGAAATTATATTAAAAATTAAAAGTTACCTTAGCAATTAGCACTATTCTAGAAAGGATAATATAAATACATATCTGTAATCCATGCCAAATATCTCCATATGTATTCACAGTATAAAGATAGCTTAGACCAGAGTTAGAATTACACTAGAGCGGAAGGAGCTAACCACAATAAAACTTCAGATATTTTAAAGGCTCACAAATCTGATGGAATAGACTTTGTTTTAATAGTTGATCTTCAAAGAAATGGGTTTATGAGTGTATGTAATATTGCTTAAAATGTGAGAAAACCAGTTATAATTATATATGCCGATGACACACCATAATAAATTTCGGAAGTTTTTTCTTAATCTCCATAAATACACCAACTGTTTTTGTGAATATGTTACGATGATGCCAAAATTGTAACATTATCTGAGAGAGAAATCTGTGAACCAAATTGTTAACATTACCAGAAAGGCAAACATTTGCTTTGTCACTCGTTATAAAATTTTGCCAAAAAGTGGGTTCTGCTTCCACTACGATTATAATGTTTTGTAAACATTGCAAATATGATCATCAAAAAACTCTTAAATGTTGTTGGTCCTGTAAATGTTCTGTAGGAAATCGAAATACTAAATTCTAGTGGATAGTTTGGGATCTTGGATACTATCGCAAATAAGCTAAATATTTTTGTTTCAGTTTCAGTGACCCTTCACTAAAGCGTGTAGATTTTCAATTAACGAACATTTTTGGAAATACAATTTAATAATTTCTTCGCCTTTTTGAGGTGAATTAAATGTTTGAGATACTTAACGTACTTTAGATAACACAATAATAACAGTATTCCATGATGTTCTGAAGTCAAGGTGTATTTTGCCGCTCTTCGTACCTAACTATGGATATTTAGGACTGATAGACTAAATAGATAGACTTACAGAACCATGACGAAACAAGTGCTACCCTAAGAGATAGTTTTAAGATATGACAATTTAAAGTGCAGAAAAGGTTAAGTAAACAAAAGGATAATGAAATTTTAATTGCAAGAAATTTGTCGATACTCTTAGTTCGCATTTAGAATCCTAACATAATGGGATTGTTAACTTTGTAATATTTTAATGCCATATGAGTCTATATGATATTGTCCTAATATACTATCTAAATGTAAATCACATTATTACATTATATTAAGTGACATTTTATGATTTTTTTGACAGTTGACGAAAATACTTTGAAAACATTTCTTCTCAAATTCGTCAAATAAACCAACCTGTACATTTAATATCTCAAATTAAAGAATATTTAAAGAAAACCCAATTTCAATTAATCTTTTCTGTCGACTAACAATACATTTTTTGTATTCAAAACAATCATATCCAAATTTTCTTCATAAATTGAATGTCTAAGTGGTACTTAATTTAATTTCTTGTTTACCTTAATAGATTAATATAAATTAGGCCAATTCTTCAATCATTTAAACGAAATAAACAAAATCATTTTCATCTATAGAGTCAGGGCAAGAGATTCTCATTTATGTACTTTACATTTTGTTCAATAGCAACAAGTGTTTTTAATTATTTATTTTCTTGATTTTACTTTTTGTGTGTGCAAATATGGCCGCCGCTATTAAGTTCGCGTCGCGATGGCAGATGGCCTTCTTAATGTATAAGTGTTGAATAAATGTTTTATTTTCATGTGCATGAGGTATGGCGTATATTCAAGGCGAATTAGTTAAAAAGCACCGCGCGAAATCTAGAAACAAAGAGATTGGTCGCGACCGAAAATACTCACAATTTATTTGAATCAACGCAACTCATGCTTAAAAACGTTACTATACAAGAGACTATGGCGATCACAGCCTACCAAATTTTATTTTTACGTTAATTGCTTTGCGATATCTAAGGCCTTTGTTACGCTTATTCTGAATTTTTGTCGTTTCCATTCTCTTTTTTCAAATTTATTTAATTCGGCGGTGCTTTTAAAGTTTTTGGCGTCGCGACGCGTTCTTTTTCGGATTCGGTTTCGGTGTATACACTATTTTTTAATAATATATTTATGTATATTATCGTAGTTCATTTGAGCACCTAATTGTTTTTTAAGCTAAAACTTAAAATTAGTATCATCTAATATTGCACAATATTCTAGCGGTTTCTTATTTTTTTACTCTCATTTTTTTATAATAATATTTTTATGTATATATTACTTATATACTTTTTTAAGTGTCCTTTTTTTTCGCACACGTATTGCTTTAATTTCATCAACAAACCGTTTTTTATTCTTCTTTTTCCTTAAAAACGAATTTGTTGTGCACGCACCAGTACTCTTATTTCATCTGCGTTTCAGAAGGATTAAGGTAGGTACAGATTTTGGTAATTCTTTATTAGAGGTTGAAATGATTGGATGGTAGAATCTACACAGCGTGGTGAGAGTTATGGGATGAAGGACATTTCATATTAAACACTAAAAACAAGATAAATATTATGTATATCCAGTGATTCAGTTTGTTTAAATTATTGGTGTTTGATTCCAATGATTTAATAAATCACTTAGTATACATCTAATTGAATCGCTCTAATTAAATATCTTTAGGTTTTGCTTAAAGAAAATTAGAGAAAATTAAAATAGATTAGAATTGGATAGATATTTTTTTGTCAGGTCACATTTGAAGAATTATTTTTTTAGAAAAACTAGAAATTTTCTATTAGATAGTGAGGTTACGAGATGCAGTATGATAATACGATGAGCACTAGTGCGTAGAGTGACGTCATTGAAACGCCGATTCCTTGTGAAACGTGTCCGATTTGTGAAATGACGGTCTGCCGTTGTGTCCATTCGTCCTTTGCAATGGTATATCTTGCGAGGCGAAGTTGTTCTCCGATTTTGGTCTCGGCAACGTAAGTTTTTGCAGCGTCCTGCCAAGATCGTTTAAACTTCGATCGCTTGCATGAAGTCTTGCCACTGATTCGTCCGACATGTTGACGTTATCCGCTTCCGCGGCTAAAGCATTTACCACGGCGTTTATCGTTTTGCTCTCGCTGCCCAAATCCTCTTCCCTGTGTGCCACCAAGTTTGGATTTTTTCCTATTTTGTTCAACCTACGAACAAGCGGGATTTAGACGAAATATTGTTTCCGGGTTCGATGATTATCTCCGATAAAACGTAACAAAGAAGTCTCTTTCTAAACATGCTCACTCTTTTAAAAGTTTCTCTTTTTTTAAACACCTAAGGTTTCCTTCAAGATACACAGAAAACAAAACGAAAAATTAACAGTTTTTTTTTTTTGGAATTTCAGCATCCAGAAACAGTGATACATTTTCTGTCCTTTTTACTTCTTATTTTTTGCTTAATTATACCATGGATTTTTGGTATTTCCTGGAATAAAATTTTACAAAATAAACAAAATATCGAACTAAATAAAAAAACCATCACCATATAAATTCATCTAAAAACCCAAAAATGGTAAAAAAGTTAGAAATACACCCATCTAAATAGTGCTGAATAATAATACAAATCAAAGTTAATAAAGAAAGATATTAAATTATTGTTAAATCAAAAATATATCACTGTCCCCAAATTATTAACATGAACAACCAGAATCCACCAAGATGCATCGATGATCATGAACAAGGCCAAAATAAAATGAAAAGAACAGGTTCACTGTTTGCTGTGTACGTGTGTATTATTGAATTATAATCTTAATCCCTCTTGTTTGGTACCATCACTTAACAGTCTGCTAATGTGTAAAGATTGTTATTGTGTTAATCGTTTTTGATGATTTTTTGTTAAATAAAAAGAACGCTATCATGCAAATGATTTTATTTGTTTACACACATAGGTTAATTTTTGGGCACGAGAAGAGTAATCAATTTAAAATTTAAGCTAGTGTATTTATGTACATTTCAATATTTTTGATCCGAATTTTTGCTTTCTACTAGAAAAGGGCCAGAGCTGGGTATAAATAGGGTTATATATCAATGATATGTATGTATGTAGTTTCATGTGAGGTTGGTTAAACCACAGGTGGTATAACCAAAGCACTTAGGCCCCAACGGTACCTTTGTACATCCTCACGGTTTACTTCGACCATGTGTAGATCTATTTGGAGGAGTGAAAGATGTTCGAAGATGGCATCCGATCAGGCTGATACCGCTTCTCGCCTCGCCTTCAGCCGGGCTGGTACTCCAACGCCCAGCAATTTGAAGACGACCCCCAAGCCGGGCTGGTACTCCAACGCCCAGAAACTTGGGTGCATGGCTGAGTACCGCTCAAAGAGCGCAGACGAGAGCTTACCACGGGGCCATTCGCCCCCCATATCAATGATATATACATGTATCATTTTTATGATGTATGTGTATCATTGGTAACGATTTTATGAACTTTCTCCAATCCTTTCTACTTTGAGGCAGTGTTCATGTTTCATTCCACGTTCATCCCCTGTCCACCAACAATCCCACTATTATTTTATCCCACGTCTGTTTTTATTCTTTGTCACTCTTGCCGCCCATATTTGTCTAGTTTGTCTTCTGTTTGCCATTCTCTATAGATGACCTGACCACCCTAGTTATTTTTTATTCTATAATCTATTATATTGATGGTATTTCCAGGTCCCTTCTTATGAATCTTATATCTGTGTTCTTCATTCTGAATTGTCTCGTTACTCTTCTGACACGTTTTAGACATTTCATTTCTGCTGCCTATATGTTTTACTCACGTTTTACAGCCGTATGTTAGCATTGGTTGATGTATTACATTGTACACCCTTAGTTTTGTCTTCCGCGATACTTTCCTTTTACTTAAATTTGTTGTTCATAGGATAATATAACCTCACCGATTTATCTATTCTTTTGTTTATTTCCGCTTCCTGTATACCATTATCATCTATCGTCACTCAAGTATTGAAATGTTTCCACTTGCTCTATCTGTGTTCCCTCTATTTTAATCTTCATCTCTATATGTTCTTTACCTATTGCCATTACTTTTGGCTTAGTTTCGCATTTCAGTAGTAGTTTTGTCCCAGCCTGGAGATTTTCCATTCTTCAGAGTTTTTATCGCTTCCTCCAATCTATCATATTTGTTTCATAATCTTGGGGTTTATTGCCCTCTTCCTGGCGCCTTTCTATTATTTGTGTTTCTTTGCACGTCACCTCTTGGAAATAATCCCTTCATCAATGCATCTATTGTTTCTTTTTCATTCACCAATACTTTGTGCTGTTAGGTCGAATATCTCTGGTATTTTCTGTTATTTGTTTTAACACTCTACAGAATAGTTTTTGGTTTTTTTCAATTTCAATTTCCTTTCTTGGCTTCATCTTCCGTCGCTGTACATTTCTTCTTTCGTTTTTGTACTTCTTATATGTGCGCGCCGTTCTTTCCGTAGTGTATACATACATATACAAGTAATGAGTAGTACTTTACGGATGGAGAAGTATATGTTGCTGTGGTCCGTTCCGAGGTTTCATCCGTTCTTCCTGTTGGTTACCTTTGAGTCTGCCGACAGCAGACTACGACAACGCACTGATGCCAGGGAACTCTGCCCCTTTCCAAAGGGAACCAACAGGAAGAACGGATGAAATCTTGGACCGACCACAACAACACATATATATAAAAGTATATGTCTATAGGTGGTATATTGTAATTTCAATTCTCAAGGCATATTCACCAAAATATTAGATGTAGAAGCATCCATATCACCGTTTGGGTTATAGTATTTGGAAATTAAACTACTTATNCCAGGTGAGATCTTAGAGATACGTCTGCCCTTTACAAAGGGAACTAACAGGAAGAACGGATGAAATCTCGGACCGACCACAACAACACATACATATAAAAGTCTATGTCTACAGGTGGTATATTGTAATTTCAATTCTCAAGGCATATTCACCAATGTTTGTTTTTTGCTTTTATTGTGTTTTGTCGAATTCGTTGTAATAACGTTGCACAGGTTTTCCATTAATAATGTTACTTACGCATACACTGGAAAGTACTCACTGTCTAAAATGATCTAACCTGTATAACAGCTAGTCTTGTCAAAAAGTTATTCAGTGAATATTAATCAAATATGTTACACTTAATGTCCGTTCCTTGTATGTAAAATGTGTGAGTTGGCTCTCGTTAATAACGTGAAAGTTTTTTAAAATTATCAATTATTTTATGAGAATCCCTTTATTGCGATTAATTTTTTAATCCCAGTAGTTATGGTGAGAGTATAAGGGTGTGTCCACGCATTGCGCAATACCAAATATAATATGTCTTGCTAAACTGTAAGGTACTTTAGTCCCAAATAGAACCGCACTTTTGCATTTACAATAATGCGTTGTTATTGATAATTCAGCCGTTCAGAATAATCAATTTTATCAGAATTATGTCCATGAATTAAGTCACGTTATCTTATTATAGCACTTAACCACGGGATATGTCTTGTAATAATATCTTGTCATCGTATAGTGGAATCAGACCACTCAGGAAATTGACTGTTAGCTTTCGAATTTTCAGCAGAATGGCGAGTTATAGACTGACGTGTTGCAAGATAGTGCTGCTTCGTCTCACTGCTTATACTTCAGTAGATACAGGGTCGGTATCTTTTCGGCGATGCCTAGTTTGGTCAGTATATTGGACGAGTCATTATTCATTATATAGAGGAAAGGTGGTTATGAAAAAGAACGAAAGTTAATAGAAGAAGTATTATCTGAAGTATCCGATCACTAACAAATATCAGATCATGATATGGGTAGTAACTAAGAAACTAGCAACGATGAAACAGCAGAATGTACCTCATTTAAAAGATATCAATTGGAAAATCTACTCCTTTCACAATTATTATTGTACATTATATTTAGGAGAGATGCATCACTATGTGTGAAAATCCTCTAAAACGTAAAGCTATCTGAGCGAAGAAAGAGAACACATTACAAAATTTCAACGAATGCAACCACGAAGTTGACCAGATCAAATTATGCCAGAAATAGAGCCGCTAACAAAAAGAAATACTGCAAAATTGTAAGACAAAAATTATTATGGCTTGAAATATGTGTGCAAAGAATTTGTTTGTCGACTAAAAACACGTGAGGCCATTCTGAGGAGTATTAACAAAGTTGTCTTCATCCGTAATCTACTTATTATGTTTGTACAAATTACTTTTAGAGAACGTTGCAGGTACAAACAATACGACCCCTCATAAAAAAAAGGTATGGAAAATTATATTTTATATTTTGATACTGCTATGTTTCAGACAAAAAACTCGAGGTTTATCTTGGAAAATAGCCAAAAGATGCATATCTGAACCCAATAAGCTCGAAACCTTTATCACCTATATCAAGTGTTGTTACATTTTTGATAAATATTCATATTGAATCATTGATTTAGGAGGTAAGTAATTCTGATTTACATTGACAGTTTTGGTTGCGTTATTAGATGTTATTCAATTTCAATCGAAAGCATGAAAAGTAGAGGATGATAGAGGATGAAAGCATGATCAACTATTATCTCTTTAGATGTACTACTTTGCTTTGGTTATTGAAAGAACTCCATAACTTTAGCCGAAATGTTGGAAGAAATCGAGAAAGACGCTACTGTTGAAGTCCTAGGTGAAGATTTAACTGAAATAGAAATCTGAACACTAAAACGGGACTGAAAGAGTGCGGCCGAAAAGCTTTTGATAATATTTGTGGAACCGAAAAAGAACTGATTCCACGAAAATTGATGTGGCAAAATAGGATTGATGGCAAGAATAGAATATGCGAGCATTTTGCGTGACAGATTCAAGTACGCAACGATTAATATGCATTGCAAAGATAATATTATAAAGTTTACATCTTTAATAAGACCGTCATTTGACATTTGAGAGACAGCCAAGAGTTTTTGCGTTACGACAGATTAGATGATGTGGTGAGTGTCACAAAAGGGCTCACTTTATATCCATTTTAATGAATAGTTACTGTCACCCAATGTCATGACTGTCATACAATGTAGCATCTGTATTGTATAATAGTTATTTCCTAAATCATAGAAAGTTAAAGGATTTTAAAAGGATGGTATGTTACCATCATCTTCCACCTGTTCGTTCTATTTTTGTCATTCTACATCTCTATCCTCTACTTGTCTGCTGTTATCCCTTCACTGCTCCTACTTTAAAACTTCTTCACTGAGTACCCGATTCTGACACAATATTCTTTACTTGCGGAACTTGCCTCAAAATCTTGTTATCACTACTCATTTTCAAATCCTTCCAATCCCATATCTTGCCCCTTAGATGACCGCACTTCTTACTAAGCCGTCAAGCATCAGTCTTTCCAGAATGTTTTCCTCCTTTCATCAACAAATTGTTTTCATTAAAAATCATAGATTTTTATAGTTGTTTAGTTACTAACTATTTTCCTGGACATCATTTTTTTCCAGCAATTTAAATGTTTGAATTATAATAAATTTTATTAACACAAAGAGAGCATTCGTTGCTCGTGCCCAAAACTGTGTAAACTTCTTTATTTCTAATATTAAACTAAATTATACATATACATACAACTAATTAAATTTTCTTGAGTATACAAAATAATATGGAAATAACAGTCTTGAATGTTATTATTGTTATTGTTGTTCATGAATCAATTTAAACTTACTCAAAAATTAAAGAAATTAATGATTGTGCCCGTTGCATAAAAGCTATGTTAAAATATATATATATTATGAACTGTTCGAATCTATGAACTTACTTTACAATTAAAATTGTGCAATAAAACCTAAATAAAGCATAAAAGATCGATAATAACATGGCACCTTAAAAAAGAAAACTCAGTGTGTTAGTGCAGTTTTACATGTTTAACAAAAAAAAATATTAAATGTTGATGAAGCCACAAATTTGCAATAAGAAAAAGTGGATCACATAAAAAATTATAACGATGAAAGATTAAAATTTTTGATTAGTACTTAACAAGCGAATTAACGTGATCAAAAGAATAATGATAGATAAAGGTAGAAGAGACAAAAAGCGATGGTAACAAAGATACCGAAAAAATGTACATTTACATGGATATATAATTCAATAAAACCAGAAGGTTTCTTTTATACCAACCAACGCACTGACCTCTCCGCCGCCACCGATTCCATCGTCCTCCTCATTAAGGGATACTGATCCAGAACGGCGTTAAAATGATCGACAGATAGGGAAAAGAGATTACAGTAAGTTTCCGCTCTCACGGAAGCTACTCTCCTTGCGTTTGTTAACAAACAGATTTCGCCGAAATATGACCCGTCTGATAAACTCGTCGCTACATCACCATTTGCCATTACGATGTCCACGATTCCTTCTTGAATGAAGTACATCTTGGCACCAATGGTTCCTTCTTTTATTATAATATCACCTATTACAGAAAGAAATTAAGTTTATTGATCATGTAAAACTAAATACGATTTGTATTAAGTGCAAATTGGTGTACTCGACTTTACTGAAATTGACGTTGAGTGATATCGATTGTAATATTCAAATTCTATTTTCGGATATCGTGACCGTGTTGCTACGATATCCGCGCTGTTTACCTGGTTGGAAGACTTCATATCTTAGTTTTGTAACTACGTCCGAAACGAAATTCGAGTCTGCATTGGCAAAGAATGGCACCGATGCCACCAACGATCTGCAATTGTAGTTAATGACGTCTTCGCGTAATTTTTCCGATAATTCTCCTAAGATACACTCTTCGTCGAAGAATTTTCCTTGGTATCGATGCTCGAAGTATTCGGTGATACGTTGTCTCATTTCTCTTGGTAATTTCCTATATGCCATGTATTCTTCAACTTGTTTCACCTAAAATTAATCAAACATCTTATTAAGTATCGTTTTAAATGTTACATGTTTATTACTTTTTCTCTGTATTGTCTTCTTGAAGAATCCAAGCTTTGAATGAGATTCGTTGCGTGGCCCAAAAAGAGAGCATAACAAGTGGCTCCTGATATCATAGAGAGCATTGTTAGCCACATATCTGTCAATGATTGAGGAGGGAAACGTCCGTATCCTATACAAAGCATATGTGACATAGCTTTGAATAAAGACCACGAGTATTGCTCCAACCAGTTCGCTTCCTAAAAAATATTTTAATCATTAATAAGTGTATGTTTATGAAGTAAATTGTACGCTGGTTAACACATACTTGAAGTTCGTTAATTGCAACCCAAGAATGTGGAGGGAATCCCTGCAACATCGGCACTAAGAACTGAAGACATCCAGACCAATGGCCGATGAGCAGCATCATACAAATGAGATTGAATATTCGCATGAATACGCTGGCCATGTTCAGAAACTGAAATCGTCGAAAGTGAAAGAAAAAAAAGGTGGATTAGTGACGAAAATGTTGCTGGTTCCGATTGGAAAATCGGTCAGTCATCGTCAAAAGGCTAATTCTAAGAGATTATGTTCATTAGTATTCACTCGCAAAAAAATCAAAAATTAGTAATACATAATCATAATCCCAATCGCCGAAATAATCAAAATGGTAGTCGTAATCCAAAGAAAAACAACTAAAAAACGGTGTCTGATTTACTCTAAAAAGCTCCATAATATCTCCTTGCGTTCTCGTCTAGGGAGTTAAACAACAAAATTATAAATATCAAACAAAATTATAAAATAATGGAACGTTACCAACGTGAAAAACATAATGAAACAAAAATACCCTCAACGGGAAGTATATTTAATTATTTAAAAAAACTTCAACGGCATCAAAGCCAATTGCAAAAGCTGTGCTTACAGTTTACACTTGAAAATCAAAATCTTGTACGAAAAATAAAAACAAAAATGTTGTATTAAAATAAATTTATACAGAGACGAAAATATTCTCAACACGTGCTCATCTCATGATGTGTCAGTTGACCCAAAAAAAAATAAAGGTAAAATTGATTTTAATTTAATAAAATGTCGAAATTTAATTTTTCCCAAATGCACACGAAATTATTATGTTGTATCTATTTGTATTATTGTATCCCAGAATTCTTTTTTATCAGTTCACAGGTGTGTTGTGTTAGCGTGTATTTTTTTTCGAAATTAAATTAAGCTAAAGGTCGGTAAATTAGAAAGAACTGCGTAAGAAAAAGTAATGTATAAAAATATGAAAATCCTCCCTTGTATTTATTAATTTTTTTTTGTATTTCGGTCTTTTATATATTGGGCGTTTATAATATTAAAATTATGAATATAGCTCTCTAATTAAATCTAGATTGAAATAAATCACTAGAAAGCGTTTGAAATGAACTAGAAGCTTTAAGGAATTACTAAAATGATGATGTATCACTATACTTTTTTTTAAATGAAATGGAGCAGCTGCACATAAATTTTCAAACGTACTCAAATTAGAACAATTTTCATCCTAACAGTACAGTTTTTTTTATTTTAGAATTTTAAGGTGAATTGTTTAAGAACCCGTTTATAGGGTTTTGATGTAAACCCTGAAATCCTATATTTATTATATTTGGTTCTTATAAATTGATCATTTAAATAATAAATATATTCGACCAATTTACGCTACATCTCTTGTTTCCACTTTCCATTAGGTTTAACACTTCTTAAACTTACGGGGCTCCCAGGAATTTTCATTTTGTTTTGTGTTTTGATTATGTTTTCTTTTTCCTTAAGATTCTGTACTGGACTTCGTCTTCGTAAATTATAGAAGTAAATAAAAATTGTCAATAATTTTACTTTGTATTTAAAAGAGTCTGTACTCGTTATCTCATTTTATTAGACAGTGTCACTGTACCTACAATTCGTTTTATGTGCTGCTCGAAATATATTTGTCTATCAATACCATTAAAACACGTAACTTGATTCCTGAACTTTATATTCGAATTGAAAAATGTTTGCAAAACATATCATTTTTAAACTGTTAAACACACGGGGATAGCAAGGAATGTTGATTAATACCTGGATAATAAAAGTAACGTTTCTAGCACGTCTATCACTTGTAATATGGCATCCAGGTGACTTTTGGCTCCAAGTAATATATTGAAGATTATTCCAGTTTTCCAATTTTCTTACTATTTTTACCCAGGATCAGGATAAGTAGTTGACAATTTTTTACTTTAGTAGAATCCTCTTAACTTGCAATCCTTCAACATTTGCAAAGAATCACTTTTGTGATACTGCAGATTTGTGCAATATTTTCCGATTTCATTTCTGTTGTCCGTATAACATTTTTATCCATACTAGTAAAACTATTTCGATTTGCCAATTTGCCAAGTCTTTTCATTAGTTTCCCCCAGTACATCTCTCTTTTTCTTTTCTAACATCTTTACGGCGTCCTTTTGTAATTTATTTAGTGCATTATTAATTCTTTTTATATTATCATTATTATTATTATATTATCACATTATCATTATATTCATTTAATCCAGTATTACTCCGATTTACTATCTATTTGACACTCATACAACAGCTTTGTAATTGCCGTCGTAAAAGTTTGTGTGTCTTCTGCAATCTCTTCTTTTTGCAGATTATTGTTTGGGGTATTTGTTCTATTTCTTATAAAACTCCACTGTGTTTAATTAATTTAAATGTGAACAGTCCATTTAATAGGTCCTTATCTAATGTTGATAACTACCTAATAGTGGCCCGGGTTCAAACAATATTTGGTTTCGCTCCGCAAAGATTCCTCAGTTTATAGCTTAAGAAAAAGTCTGTTACTTCTTCACATCTGTTTTCAGGTATCGATGTTGCATTTATTGTTCCTCATGCTGAGAGCATAAATTGAGAATATAGTCATGATCGTTTGTTCTTGTGCTCCCCTCAGTTTGTTGCTTGTCGCGTACAATCAGTATTTTTATGAGCTATACCGCTACAAACTTATTATTTCTGTTCCGATTTTTGTCCCAGTACCTATCGCCTCTACATTCTAATTGTCAATAAGTAGATATTTTAGCGTATGTGCACCTCTCTTTTCAAAAAGTACGTGCTCTTGCACACAAAAACTGCACGCAAATATGTACTGAACGTGTCCCAACGATCTTCGTGTTGGCTCACCATTAATTTCATGATTTTATTTCTTCGATTTTTTACTCTTAGACAGATGTGCTGTATAGAAAGTATAAGACCTCGTTATATCCGTTCTTATTTTAATTATTTCTATAATATCCGTTTCTGTTAGTCTTCGAATGCCTAAGTCAATTCCATTCAAGATTTCCATCGAAAATGTCTCTCATAGCTGTTTTTGCTTTTTTTACTTCTCGTTCTGTGCAACAAGCTGCATTCCATTTTGCATTACCCAACTCTATATTGCTCGTTGGTTAATTTCTGCTGTATGTGTCACTTGTCACACTTCTTTGCTTTAATTTTTGTAAACTTCAAGTATGCTTGAATGTGTCGTTGATGAGTTGTAACTTCTCGTGGAGTGTATCCAACTTGCGCGATCCTGTTTCCATAAACCGGCTAACCGGTTTGCTATCATTAATATTACATTCTTGTTGGGCTATGTCACAGCTCTCATTTGTATAACATTCACTCCTCAGAAGATTATCTCAAATTTTTCATCGAAGTTATAACAATACTATGCTATGAAAGTTCGAAAAAGTGCTGCTTACGATAATTTTACTATTTTAAGTCATAGTCTTGAAGTAATTACTTAACGATTTTTTCACTTTACTCTCATTACACCGAGACTACATTCTTGATAGGATATATTTAGTTATATACACACCTGACGCCAATCTTGAACTTTTTTGTGCAATGTTTTGCAATCTAAAATGTTATCGATGACCGACACCCCTTGCGTCTGATAAAGCTTTAATTCTTTCTACAATGTTGACATGGTAGTATTATTGTTTGCTTGTTGATCATCATCTGAAATATTGTGTGGCAAAACCTCGACACAAATGCGTGGAGTTCAAAATTGATGAGAAACTTCTTATCACTAATAGAATCTTATTACTATAAATCCATAGGTTTTAGTTAATTTTCTGACGAATTTCTGTCTGTGTCAAGAATATTCTGGATGTTTGGCACGTAGATTTCCACTCCGTAAAGTACTTTGCAATTGTTATCTCAACTGATGTCTGTGTCTTTATTGAATTGATTCGCTGGTTGCATCTTGCTACGAATCCAAATTGACGAATTTAGTTCACAGTCGCTATTAATTACATTTGGTGTAGAAAATTGGCAGAACATATCAGAAATCCTTATATTTTCATTTATATCGTATCATAGACCAAGTTAAGAATATTTTCAAGATTTCGTAATTATTGAGTAGATTAATAAGAGTCATTGCTATTCTTTATACACGATTTTTCATATAATTTTTCGTCATGTGCTTTTCATATCTATCCTACCACTTTACACGCTTTTGAAAAATATGATTAGCTGTCCCACTATAGTCAATGCTAGAAACTAAAATTTATTATACATATAATTCAATCTCTTCACCATTTTTATCATAAATATCTTTGTCTAGGATGAAACAAGATGGTTAATAAGATCTCGAATACGAATAAAAACTCGTTCAACAAATATAATATGTTACATATGTAAGAAATGATTCTATACTGCATTAATAATCATGTCACTTTAATGACAAACTAATGTGATGTGATTTTTAAAATATATATCATTATTGGATTTTCATAATAAGTGACACAATATACACTCTATATCTTAAATGTTATGTTTTTATGTTTTGCAACTATGTCAAATAATGCATTCTTGTTTTGTAGTTCATGAAACAAAAACCTTTTATTCGCTTCGACGATCTATCAGCTTTCGAAATAGCAGATCAAAATTTATCAGCCTTTATTAAGCATAAGATAAGTAGTTGGCCAATATCTCTTGTATGTTACAACAAAACTAATAGGATTGGGAGAACCTACAACTATTTCTCTTGATCAAACCATTTCAGTATTATAGAATTTGTAGCTGAAGACAGTTTTATATAAAACTAATAACAACTCTTAAAATTAAGATATAACAAGTAAAGGCAAAATAATCACTTGCCTATGATATTAATAAGTTGACACGCAAGTGTCCTTATCACTGCTCCATAAATGTGAAAGAAACAAATCAATTAGAATTTGATTGAGCAATGTACACACTTAGAAGGAAGTTGTTCAGTGTTCTTGGAATGGAAACATCCGAAATGTTAGGCAAATCGAAATGTATGAAAATGATCTTTTGACCTGATTATGGTAAAGATTAAACCAGAGATAGATAAAGAGCCTAAAATGTCAACCTTATTTAAGAGACGTAAACGAAATAAGATCTAACGTAAACGAATTCCAATTGAAGAAAAATATTTGAAGATTATAACATCGGAGATTTTGAGACGGAGATTCTATTAAAGCCTTCAAACGGCAGACAACGGCATTCTCAGAGCAGAACATTTGCATGGAAAAGATTACGTCCAAACAGAAGAAAAGATGTAAATCGATAAAGAAGATGACTTCTAATTGTAGAAATTCTTGAACGCAAATTTTTGTTTAGCAAATAATAATAAACGTAAGCAAAGATTTAATTTATTTATTCCAATATGAGACGATATATGTCAGGGATTCTCAACCGATTAAATAGGTTAGCAACAAAGTTCACGATCATATTGAAGACATGAAGAACTTCAGCTATTTGCTGTTTAAGAGTGAGCTCTAGGTTTTGTCCATTGTATTCGTTAAGAAGGATTAAAGGATTAACAATATTACCACAAAGGATTAAAATTCCTTGTCGAGAATTAAACATCGCGTAAAGCTAATATTAGATAATTATCAGAATTATTCTAGGAAAGACAAACAAGAATTGATTCCATATTGCTATTAGCGAAGAGTTTAAACAGATTCGATTTTTCTTTGGAAACCTATTATAAAAACCTATTGGCCCAATGAGACTCTTCAACGATTTGTATTGCAATTTGTGCAATATTGAGTATTTAGACTATACTATTGATGTTGGCAAAAAAAGTTGTTCTTCGAGGAACAAATAATTACATGATAAGAAAAGAAGGATAAAAATGTTTCTATTAGAATGAATATAGAGAAATATATTACAAATCATGTGACATGTTAGTTGCATAATGTAATGCAAACTAAAAATAAACATTAGCATTTTACAAAATCAAGATGACATTGTGCATAATTCGTTGAAATAATGGAACATAATAACAAGATAATTCTCAATTACTTATTGAAGGATTGGGATAAAAAGATTCTATATTGCCAAATTGGAGTTGCTATTAATTTGATTGTTGCAGAACTACAAGAAATTGAATACGGTGCGCGGTCAACAATTTACAGAAAACCTGTAAGAAATTACACCGATAATAATCAAATGATAGCTAGATATGACTTGATAGCCTAATAATATTGTGCACTGATCTTAAATCTATCTAGTTGGATTTTCAATATTGGACTCCTGAAAACTTCACAATCAAAAAATCATCGTTTAGTGCGATTTGTCCTCTGTACTCACTATTTTTTGATGAGTGTGGTGTACCAATACGTCCAGTCATTCTTGTAATCTCTGTGATAACCCCCGATCGAAGAACAAGAAGCTGCTTAATAGCTTCCTTGCTTGCTTAATTTGAAAAAATATAGTAGAATATTTTTTTATGGGGAAATTTTAAGGCAGAACTTTTTAAAGCTATCGAACTCTAGAAGAGGTGATGGTGGTCATTGCTGTTGAGAGTGCAAAGAATCTTATAAAAATGTATGTCCCAAACTGTATTTATACATATATGTGTATTGTATAAAATTTTAATACTATTACACCATTTTATAATAACATATAAACTCAAAAGAATTTTTATTCTATGGATTTTTATTCGCATCCATAATTAGATTAACCATTTTGCTACACCTTCTATTACAATGATAATAAGGAATAATTTATGAAATTTACCTTAAAAATTTTTATTATATTGTTTCTAATAATCTACAATAATTTGACTTTGTCTTAAAAATTGTTAATTAATTCATGTTTTTACTCTCAAATGTACATTAATTTACAGGGTGTTACAACATTGGACTGTTTCTGTAACAATAACTTTAATTACATTATAAACGCCTAATAATATTTATAATTATAGTCATCATAATTTTTTTTTGCTGGGAGTATTTTCAATCGCGTAAATTGTGGTGTGTAAAGAAACCAACCTAAGCGCCCAGTGCCAAGCAAATACGAAGCGGTACACCTAACTGAACGTTCTCTAATAAAATTAAAAATTAAATCTCAAATGCACAAAAAACCTATAACGTCAACTACAATCGTTATTGGTCTCCAAAAAATCTAGTACTTTAAACTTACCTTCCCAACAAAATACACTCATTCTAGAACCGGTTTTACAAGCAAACCCTCAATCATGTAAATTAAAAATTATTTACATAATAACGTACCGCAAGTAGGTTTTTATATGAATTTGTCTGTTTTAGGGTGTTAAACCCATCCTCTCATCAATAATTAACAACAAACGGTTGTGGTGTGCCAAGGGAGAAAGCGAAGTATTTACAAAGCTAAGTGATTGAGTGAGGATATCAGAAGTTTTGGTGGAAAAGTGTTTTTATTTCTTTTTTTCTGCAAAATGTGCTTTGATTTTTAGGATTTTGGTTGTGTTTAACGTATTATTTATTTAAAATAAATATTGTAATTGAAGTAGTAGTAAGATATACATAATGAATAAATAAATGTTTGTTTGTGGTTCATTTATTTATTGATTTTGTAGATAATTTTTGTGTATTTTTAAATAAAAACATTTTCAAGTAATAACGGGGCTGCTTTTAAAACCACACAAACAGTTCGCGGATTTTGTAATTATTCCGCAGAAACAAGCGATTCAAAATAAAAATAAATAAATAAAAATAAAAGGAACTCGTCAAAAGCGAAAGCAGAAGGCGCACAAAACTCGGAACGATATAATAACAAACTTGTTAATAATAATAATAACGTAGCGGTAATCAAAAAACTGCGTCAGTCGTCATTAACAAGGTAATAAGTAACAATAATAATATAAATACTGAAAAAATATATGCCAAGCAAGCTGGAAAGCGTGTTACCTTGAATATTAGATTGCTTTTGCTGTATTTAGACTTGTCGAGATCCGAACTAAGGCGCCCCCGTCGTTCCGTTCGCTTTTTTTGGAGGTTCTGCAAGATCTAGAAAAGCGAAGAACACAAGGTAGTAGAAAACGAAGCGTGGCATTCTAAGATACCAGAGAAGAAACGAGCTTCGAGTTGAGAGAAAATAGTATGTGTAAGAAAGTGAGAAAGAGAAATAGATAGAAAAACAGGATTTTATTTTGGAAAAAGTATAAGAAAGGTTTTAAGGGAGGTTTCTTCTATGTATTTTTATTTTTTTTCTTTATCGTTAACAAACAGGCAAAAAACAAAAAGCCGGGTGGTAAAAACGCGCTAGATGCAATTAGGGTAAGTTAAAAGAAAGAGAAGGATTAAGTTATAAAATAGAAGATAGAGTTAAGAGAGAAAAACATGAAAATCTAGCGGGCGGTTCTGTGTGTGTTTTTAAACAGAAAGGATGGAAAAATCGAACAGAAAAGAAAATGCGACTACTTGATGATTTATTTTTTTGCTTTACTTTTTTTGGTGCGGAGCGCAACAAGCTGGAAAACGAGTGGCAGCTCATGCTTACCTTAAAATTAAAATTAAAAAAGTATAATCAAAAAAGAATAATGAGAGAAGGAGCAGTGTACCCGATGGAATACATAAATATTAATTTTTTTCTACTTAATTTTAATCTTTATTAATCATTATTTTAATTTGATTTATAATAAGGATGATGATAAATCTGAATGCCTTTTAAACTGTTTTTCGCAAAAATTTTTTGAATCTATTTCCCTTTTTTTGCATTTTATTTAATTTGCCGAATAAAAACTATCACTAACAACCTACGCAAAATCACTAAATATAGGACACTAAAAGGTTTTTCAACACTAAAACACCAAAACTTACATAAAGCTCGAGATGTCAATGATTGATTGTGTGTTCGGTATTTCGAAAGACGACAACAAAACAGTAATAGTAATAATCTACTTTGGTAGCTAAAAATAGACTCATCGCTACGTTCCACGTGCAACAAAAGAAATGTTAAATGTACATCAACCCTTTCCTCATCTCGTCAACAAGAAAAATAAGAGAATTATAAGTTAACAGAAAAAAGTGGTAGGTTTAAGTAGTATTAAGTGAAAGAGTAGAAGAAGTAGATTTTTTTGTTATTTATATGTTTCTGTGTTAGTGTAAGTTTAATTTGATGTGATTGTCCCAGAAAAACAAAAATACCCAACCGAAAAATAAAAATTTACAAAAATTAGTACCATTTTTTCTCTTTCAAGATGCAACAAATACAAGTCCAGTTCGGCCAACATCGAATAAAATAAAAAAAAATAAAAAAACATACTATCGGCGCTAGGAACACATCAACATTCAAGAACACATCATGTTGAAACCCTTGGCCAGCTCGACTACTACTTGATTTCGAACCGAATGGTCCATAGAATCGGAAGTGAATCGGAAGGAGAGAGAAAGAAATCTTTTTTAATTATTAGGGTTCTGTCTGAGATGGCCGAGTTTCGACAAACGATATCAAAGAATAGTTAAAAAAGGATGGTTGGCTGCACCTCCGTCGTCCTGTCCCTAGCTGGTGCTATCGGTGTACCGTCTGCCGCGAATTCTGTAGGACGCCCGGAAGGATGTTGGTACATAGGTATCTAGGACCCAAATAATATACCAACGGTTATGGTTTGTTGTCGATCAGAAGTTTGAGCTTATTCTTGTTTTTTTTTTATTGATCCTATTCTGATGGCATGGTGTGCTTTCTTTTTAAAGGATTTTCTTTTAGCTTATAATGGTGATCAAAACGAAAAAAACTTTTTGATCGAAAGCGTCAACAACTTCTACGGGATAATAATGAAAGCAATAAGTTTTGTAAAAACAAAAACCCTTACCTTTATGTTTGTTTCTCTGTAGATCTCGTCTGAGTTAATCAAGCAACAAACAATAAAGCTGATTTTTAAGAGAAAATTAATTAATTAGATTCAGTTTTTATTTAATTGTTTTATGTTATTTAGCTTTTCTTTTATTGATTTAGAATTAAAGATTATCACCAGTATAAGAAAATCCATCAAAATAGGACAATGGCAATACCATTCCAAAAACAAATACCCACACTATAACAAAAAAATATTGCAATCGAAAACACCTAATGATTATATATTTTATCTTTATGAAGTTAATTAATTTTTGGCAACAAATCAGGTATAGTATTGGATGGAATAATAACGATTAAAAAGTTATTAATTTAGTAACATGGAAACTGTTTAATATCACACATACAATTCGGTAAAATTAGAAACACATATTGTATTGAATTTGGTAAATGGTTCGATTTGTTTTAACTGACTTCTGAAATATTTAGAAATAATTCATTTAGAATCATTTAGCTTTTAAATATCATTTAACCACCTACTAATCGGATATTTTTAGGAGTTACTGATGATAGATATGCTTTATATTAATTTAGGGATTAATTGGGGATCATTTAAACTGGAGAAAACATATCTGAACTAAAAGACTTCAACTGGGATTCTTCTATACCACTGAAAATAAAATGTTCTTGTGGGGGACTGTCAGTAAAAGTTTTCTTCTTCTTTCTCTTTACTTAAGACTATGTCTTGTTTTTTCTGCTTTATCAGCCCTCTTAGGATGCTAAAGTTAAGCATTCGTGCCTTTTCACGGTCGTCCGATAGGGCTCCTTGAATTTGGTCTCTCACTCTTGGTCCATATCGCCTTAAACACGTCGTCCATCCTGATCATGTGGTCTTTCCAACATCTGGGCTTCGCCCGCACAAATCGCACCACATCAAGCACCCTCAGTTTCTCCCGTATTGCTGCACTTCTTATCTGACCTCTAACGATAAGGGTTACTCGTTTAATCATCCTTAGCGTTCTCGTTTCGGTGGCTCTTAGTATGCTCTTGGCTTTTGACGTATCCATCCTAGTTTCCTATGCATAAGTCAGTACCGGCCTCACTGCCGTTTTGTAGATGCGAACTTAGCTTGGACATGTATTTGTTCCTCCAGACGATGCTGCTTAGATATCCATATATTCTAGAGTCTTTGTTGACTTGTGTCCTAACTTCTTGGTGTAAATTTCTGCAGCTAGAAATGTCAATGCTCAGATACCTACAGTGCAGGCTCTGTCTAATGGGGTGATCATTCACTATCAATTAACACCTGACAGCCTCTTTCGATATCACCATTGCTTCAGTCTTCTCCTCGGATATCTCTATGTTTAATCCTTTCGCTGTGGTTTGGAATCGGTGTAGCATTCGCTGCAAGTCGTTCTCGTTTTCTGCCATAAAAATGACATTATCTGCCTAACATTAGATTGTCAAGGATTTTTGTCCCATGGTGTATCCGCGCTTGACCTCGTTGACTCTTTGGATTATTTTGTTCAAAATCAGATTGAATAGGAATGGGCTCATACTGTACCCCTGTATGTCGGATACCTGCTTTTATAGGTACCTGCTCGGTTGAACTCTCCTTTGTCTTTATCCGTGTTTTATTGTTCAACAAGACTTTGTCAAGGGCCATCTTCAGGTCCACCAAACACATGAACAAAGGTTTATTGAATATTGCGTCGATTGTAGATTTGTTTTGTCTGAATACCGTTCTTCCGTAATCGTTACTCTTTCGCATAGCTTCGACGTATAGATTAGATATTTTTGTTAGTAGCATGCTTTTGCTGTTTAATAGAGTTATTGTCCTATAGTTGTCAGGTTTTTGTCCCATGGTGTATCCGCCCTTGACCTCGTTGACTCTTTGGATTATTTTGTTCAAAATCAGATTGAATAGGAATAGGCTCATACTGTAGCCCTGTATGTCGGATACCTGCTTTTATAGGTACCTGCTCGGTTGAACTCTCCTTTGTCTTTATTCGTGTTTTATTGTTCAACAAGACTCTGTCAAGGGCCATCTTCAGGTCCACCAAACACATGAATAAAGGTTTGTTGAATATTGAATATTGCGTCGATTGTAGATTTGTTTTGTCTGAATACCGTTCTTCCGTAATCGTTACCCTTTCGCATAGCTTCGACGTATAGATTAGATATTTTTGTTAGTAGCATGCTTTTGCTGTTTAATAGAGTTATTGTCCTATAGTTGTCAGGTTTCTTTTTGTTTCCTTTCTTGAATACCGGTGTTATAACGTTATGTCTCCATTCGTAGCCTCCATACTTTAGCAATTCGTTGGCTGTCATCATCTGCTTTTCTGTTTTTCAGCTAGCTCATCATTTCGTATAGATCCTCCTAGGTTATGTCTTTTTTGACTTCTTCGACCGACATCTATTCTTGTTCTTCTTGATTTTCTCGTTGTAAGTCCTCTCCGTTATTCTGTTGACTAGCATGTAGGGTTCGCACGTATACTAATCATTCCTCGGGGGTTACGGAGCTGATGTTGTTACGTCTTCGTTGACTTCCTTCTTCTTGTTTCGTACTAGATTCCATATCCCGGATAGCTCCATTCACCCAGTATTTAACGGTTTTATACTTTTCGTACTCGAACGTCGTTCCCGCATGTTTATGTTATAGGTAGGACTCTCTCTTTTGTTCAGCCTATGTATTTACTTCTTCTATGAACCAAGGTTTATTATTCTTTTTTCATTTATGTTCATGTGCTTATGAGTGCTTATTTTGCACTTTCTTTTGGGTTATCGTTTTCTGTAATTAGGTTCAGAAGTAGCTTTTCTCTTCTGATATAGCATCTTGGTTGAGTCCTCCATGATAGACTTTATGTTGAACTTTACTAAATAATCAGGTTACATTTTCTTTTGGAGGTTGGGCTTAAATCGATATATGCATAGAACTAAGCCGTGGTATGTTGCCGCGTTTGCAAATGTTAGTGTTCTTATATCTAGAATTGGGTGGGATGAACTTCCCAACTTGTTATGATAAAATCAATTGTAACGAATGTCATCACAAACCGTGCATCATATGGAACGTTTGGAATATTTTAAATTGGACTTTATGCTAAATATAGAACATTGTTGGAAACTCTAATTGTATGGAATTTTACGTAGATGCCGTTAAAACTTCAAATGTTATTGACAAATATAAAAGAAATACCTTCAATTTGACTCGCCTTTCTAAAATCGATGATTGATGTGAAATTTGTGAGAGAAATAAGAAGATGAAGAATATACATCTTAAATAGTAATAATCTTGAGTAGTAGCTTATATAGACTATGCTTTAGATCAATAATGATTGTTGTAGTAATGATCGTTTGACTATGGTGTAATTCTGTGATTTTGTCAAAATGATCACTATGCCTATTTGAAAGCTGCAAATAAATGTGATGGTTCCGTACAACAAATAGAAAACGCAAATATAGTTTGAAAACCTCATAGACAAGACACTAAATATAGGAAACGAGTCCAATTGAATAATCAGTGCACTTTACCCTTTTACCCTTTTTGTAGAAAAATAATACCATCTTACAGTATTGGATGTAGAGAATAGATAAGGACAACGAAACAATACTATTAATGTGTCTTTTGACCTGGCATAGGAAATTCTGCCTAAACATACTGATATATACTGATGATAAGTTCCCCCAGATATTTTTTTATCCTGCATGATGTCGGTTGTAAACGCAGTGCTTCAAAACTGATTTCAAAACATTAATGGATATTTACAGTATTCTGATAATTTCTAGTTTTGAAGAGCACAAGCACATTGCTTTTTTGATTACGAGGAACAATACGAATTATAACACTTTAGAAGATTACAAGAAATTCTGATCATCCCTTCAGATATAAAGCCTACTCTATCGTAGATATAGCAAACCGTATCATTAGGATGACTCATTCTTCACTCCATAACAGAAATCCTCTACCCTCAAAAAACTTCTCCTCAAATATAGGTTTCCTCTATTATTAATGAACTTATTTCTTCTATAATTATTTGATTCTTGGAGATACAATTACGTTATTTATGGATTTTTGTTGAAGATTAATAACTGCTTTTAGACACGTTTTTCCATCCGGATTGATGAGATATGACTACATGATCAACATTTGCTGGATTTTCATGGACTTCATGAACTGAACAACATCAACAAACATTTTTTGAAGCACTGTGATGTTTTTATTCCATTTCAGATGTTTATTTTCATTTCGTCCAAAGATGGTGGATTGACCAATTTGAATGTAACATTCTTTTTGTTTATATTAATATAGAGAAAATTATCATTACATCAAAGTTCAATCATTTTTAACTTAGTCTGTACAAAGAACATTCTCAAATTAACTATCGATTAGCCCACCTATACTAATCAACTATATAAACAGTGTTGGAAATTGTCGTACCAAGATGTCATAGAAGATTATAATCTTTGTAAAAGCCCAATTTCTAGGAATCTTCAATGCGATGATCTATCTATATCTACTGCTATTGGATCTAACGATGTGATACAAATTAAAATAATTACAACAAAACAACACTGCGCTGAACGTTGGCTCGAAAGGGCTATCGACATATTCTTTCTGTTCGATGGTTTATTGATTACTGTACAAAATCCTTTTTTTCAAAATCCAGTTCGCAACAGTACCATTTTGTTAAACTCGACAATTTCGTATATACTTTCAAAATTTGTTGTTGATCGTTCGAAGGTAATGTGTTGTTGATCTAAGGTAATGTTACCACTTCTTTTAGTTGTTGCCTACAGATTCTATCATTTCAACCTTCGAGCGGGCGCACTGTTATAAAATTTATTTCTCCTTATATTATTTATTTGAAAGAATTCAACGTTAAATTATGCATGTAACCATGTATTTTGAACATGATGATAAGAATATTAAAAAAAATATATCGTCTTTGTCTTTATGGTAAAAAATGTATAAAATACAAGAAATTTACATAATAATTGCTGTTTGATAAAGCCGTATTTATATTATGGGATGTATTTAGGCATATTTCGACTGGTTGGTACGTTTTTGAAAAATACAGGTCCGTATTGACTATTTTGAGAGAATCGAAATATTTTTCTTCGTCTTTTCAATGTTTCAATCTTTTTGGCTTTTTTCGTGAGTTTGTAAAAAACCAGATTCAATATTGTTCAAGCGAACATATTTTCAATTTCACGATATATTTTTATGACATCCTGTCCTATTTATTTCAAAGGTTTCAATGCTTTCAATGCCTTATTGTGTAAATAAGAAGTCTCTTGAGCACAGACCTTACTACAAACAGGAAGAGGGTTTCAGTTTTTATATTCCGTGAAAAAATCTCATAGAATGTGTGCTTCTAATTTTATCCTAAAAGGAAGGGTTTCCAAGAAATTACTAAGTTACCCTACATTTCGTAGCTATAGACTAGTATAGTCTTATAAAAATGTTCCCAACACATCATTTTATAATATAATTTGTATGTAATCAACAAATATAAACCATTAAAAATAAATCTACTCGTAAAAATTTTTATTGTAAAAAATATGTATTGCCAAATTTATATTAACTTCATATAGATATAGTTTTTAAATTTTGCGTTTTGTCCCCTAAGAGTTAAATCGAATTTGTCGTGTATATCTGTTGTTTCAGTTTGTATACAAGTATTTCTCTGTCAAATTTAAAAAAAGAATTAACCGACCAAAGATAGTCAGTAATAAATGTAGAAATAAACACAGAAAAAGATTGTAGTTTAAGAACGATCTGTATAAAGAAGTACGTTGCCACTAATAAGTCATTTTTTGAAGGGTTGATTTGGTTAATAAAAAAAATAACCAGAATGTATCAATTCATAAAGAAAATTAAAGAATAATAATTAATTAAGGAGCGATGAAGCACCTTCGGTTTTTTAATAAAAATCGCTCGCTCCAGAGCTTTATAGAGAATATTTTGTCGTAAAGTTTTAGTCGTCTGTCATCTGTTTTAATGCACGTCATTTATTTTAATATACATACTCGGTTGCTGCGATAAACCCTTCGGGCGTAATTTCACCTGGATTAACTCTTATGCGCTGCCGGAAATTTTGTTTACGTGCCGGAAATTCCTGTTTCATTCGACAATTTATTCGCTAGTTCTGGAGCAAGGATTGTGGAAGGCCGTGGGACGAACAATTGATCGAACGGAAATATTATTTTTGAATATCACCGTTCGTCGTCCATATCCCAACAGACCGAATCTATTATTTTTTATTATCATCTTTTATTATTCAAGTTTTTGAAAATACACTAATATACGAAGGTTCGCTCTTAAAATAGTATGTTAAACAGATGTATTCAAGCCAAAGGTGTGCAATGGGGGTGCCTAAAAAAGTAGCAAAACAAAGAGAGGTAGCCTCATTCCAAGCTTGCCTGAGCAGAAGCCCCAAAGCCCGTAAATATCTTAAAAACCGCATCAGTCGTCAAAAGTCTTTAAATAACGTAAGGCAAAAACGTTCAAAAAAACAGGAAACAGAAAGGAATAGTACTCCCTTTTTTTCTATAGAAAAAACAAATGGTTAGTAGTCGGTTGGGTTAAAACCAAAACTGAACTGAAAGCTAAACAGAGTTTAAAACGTAAACCGGCAAAACAGTCACAAACACACCCTTCTATAGACTCTTTTTTTAAACGATTACATTTTTAAGTACTTTTCTTAAATTTTAATTTCAATTGATAATTTAATATCCATAATATACACTATTAAATTTTGTTATTTAATCATAAATTGTGATAAATAACAATAGTAGACATTTATATTAATGGACAGTGCGGAAGCTTTGCGCAAAATAACGTGATATTTTCCTAATATAAAAATAGAAACCCAAAACTAAAAAATTTTCAAAAAAAAAACGAAAATATAAATCCGGAAAAGTTCGAAAGATTTTCTAATAAAATGTTAAGTGCTGGCGCCCTGTCTAATGATACTTACATAAACTTCTTCCCATTGGCTAACATATCGTACGAGACGAGACAGCCTCAGCAGCCTCACAAGGGACAACAATTTCGCGAGCCTTAGAATGCGCAATGCGCGGCCCGCGTGTAACAATTGAAAACTTTCGCCAAAATCCTGGAACAGAATTTTGAAATTGTTTCGGTAATTCGCAAGAGAACATCTACGCCCAACAGATCTACAATATGCAACAACAAAAAACACGGTGGGGGAACAACAATAAAACAGGGGGAACATCAACAATTCACTCTAAATAAACACTTTTCAATAAAATAACGTTTTCTTGAAAAAATCTTTTTAGATTTTCATAAACGTAATTCCATTGCATTATTTACTTTTTCAACAATAATATGAGGATTCTTAGGATAAACGTTTATGGAAACCAAAATCAGATCTCTATGTTGCTGCAGCCATTTTCCATTAATTTAACACAAATTGTGCCTTTTGTCTAAAAAAGACAGTCAACATGCTTCAACGCCTTTCTTCGCTATTATTTTGACTATGATGTAGAAACACCAAACATTAACGAACCATCTTCTGATACTTTGATGAACCAATCTTCCATAACACTTACCTGGTATAATTTTATTATAAAAATATATTTATTATATACATATTTACTATGGTTTATTTTTTAATTATGTTGCAATGTCTGGTGTATTCTTATATAAATATCTGTTACATAAGTTATGGAAGAAAATAGATCATATAAAGGGATGTGTAGTGAAAGCTAAAGCATGTATTCGAAATTTCTTATCAAAACAAATTTTTTTATTAAGTAACATCGTGTTACCCGAGCTGATTAACAAGTGACTGATTGATCAGATTATATAACACAGATGGGACTATTAGATATTTTCAACCTTATCATATCAAGTATTTGGACAATTTACGGATTAAACGCAGACTATTTAGTAGTCCCGTGACTCCAACATTTCTAAAAGTGAAGCACCACATCGAAAAATGCTCGTAAAATTTTGAACAGCACACAAGGAGACTTACTACATGAATGAATATACAAGATCATCTATACAAGATCTTCATGATCAACTGCTAAGTAAACAAACTATTTCTACGTCAACTAAAAATTTCGAGTTCTATGTTCAGGCCAGACAGGTGCAATGTGGATAGGATTTAAATGCAGAACGCAGAACAGAGATCCAGAAGAGCCGAAAAACACAAATCAAGAAATTCGAGTCATTAGAACGTCGAACACAGAAAAAGACGAAAGATGGATTACCACTGGAATCGCTGGTTATTAATCGATCCAGCGTTCTACTGACGAAAAAAGAAACGGCAGTACATAATCCCTTGGTTATGTGTGAAGTACCATTCGCAGGATACCAGCCGTAAAATCTGAAAACATCCGTCAAGACATCGCAAGAATGTTAGAAACAGCAAATAATCAAAGTTCAACTTCACAGTTAGTGAAAGAACACCTTTATGTAGTGTAAGAAAGAGAACCGAGACATAGTTGTCCTGGTTACAGACAAAGGTAATACCACTATGCTATTGGACAGAAAGGAATACGAGATCAAAATGAACACTCACAGATTGAATTCAGACACCTATAGGAACAGTAGGACGATGAAGAACCTAATTAAGTCGATGGATATTTCACCAGAGGAACAGAAAAGCTATAAATGCCATTTTTTTATAAGCACCAGTAAGAATCTCTGGTTTACCAAAAATCCATAAGACGTCCCACTGCGAGCTAAAGCAAGCGCAATTAATTCACCTACACCAATTTGCAAAACATCCCGCCTATGAATTGTCGTCCTTTACAGAAAATATGGATTCATTAATTAGTTAATATTTAGTTACTAGAGTCTGTATATTCAACCGATTTTGTACTTTTGAACTTGTTTTTGAAGAAGGTTCCAACATGACACCTAAAACGACAAACAGTTATTTAATAGCCTCGGTAGTTTTTAGTTTTATTTCTTATAAAGCCGGCCGTAAAAGCCTACGAACTTATATTCCCCATATTTCAAAATAAATGAATTTTGTACAACAACCGAATATTAAAATCAATGGAGAAACATATTACATGTGAGCATTGTTTAAACCAAGAAAAGGGAATGCATAACCACCTCAAGCATAGCTATCAATAGTTCCTAAGTAGATAGCAAAATTCGATGAAGATATCCGGAATAGACGAAAATAGATCAGAATGGATTCAAAAAAACATATCCATAATCAATTCAATCTTAGCTACGACTATTCTTTCAGATTTATCAATTCAGAATTCTTGGTAATTATAGCCTTCAATCAAGTAAATTTTACTACTCATCATACATGGTGGAATTCAAAATACATAACTCTAACGGATAACACATACAATAAGATTACCAGATTAAATTAAAAACAGTCTGCTTAAGAACTTCTTGCACGAAGTCTTTTATTTGAACAAATCCTTTTCAACATATTTTCTCTAAAGATTTCCATTTCCCTGTTTACAATGCACAATAGATTCAACAACATTTACCAACAGCCCATGCGCAGTGAAGAGACTTGGACAATTGGGTCAGTGAATAACAAGAAATGAACGTCAGCTTTGTGGACAAATTCGTTTTCAGAGAAGAGACCCATATTCATCTCTATGCTTACATTAATAAGCACTTTGTCACATAGGGCTTAAAAAATCATGAGTAGGATTTATGAGAAACAAATGTATTTACATGTCACTGTTTGGTGTGTACTTGGTGTGCAGGCTAGAGTTCTTAACTGCAAGATATTGTTCAAGAACGAATGTAGTGTTTTCAGCAGTTTCAGCAGTGGTCTTGAATGAGTATTTTTCTGATCGTATTTTGCTATAGAAACCAATTTTGAGGCCAGTATATCACTGTAAATGATAAAGTAAAATCAACCAAAAATAGTTTATAATTTCAACTGTATGGAATTCCAAAAGTCCGCTCTAAACCGAATTAAAAGATATCCACTTCCAATGGAAAGTAATCGTCGAATTGAATAATTTTTTTAAATGTGAATCATTCTGGAATATATAAACCTTTAGTTTCAGTTCTTTACACATTGCTCGTCTTTGCATTCTTGTGTAACCACTCATCTTATTCAAATGTATTGACCATATCGCATATCGTTCTTAATTGCAAGATATTGCTCAAGAACGTATGTAGTGTTTTCAGCAGTTTCTGCAGTGAGTCTTGGATGAATATTTTTCTGATCGTATTTTGCTACAGAAACCAATGTTGAGCTCAGTATATCACTGTAAATGATAAAGTAAAATCAACCAAAAATAGTTTATTATTTCAACTGTATGGAATTCCAAAAGTCCGCTCTAAACCGAATTAAAAGAAATCCACTTTCAATGGAAGGTAATCGTCGGATTGCATAATTTTTTCAAATGTGAATCATTCTGGAATATATCAACCTTTAGTTTCAGTTTCAGTCTTTACTTTCTTGTGTAACCATTCATCTTATTCAAATGTATTGACCATATCGCATAATTACCGTTTTACGACATCTTCCTATTATATCTTGTACAGATTATGAAAAGATTTAAGACAGTGACAGTCTTAACAACAGATGGGTACTCTTATATGAAGTGTATGAATAATATGGGTAAAATAAATTCTTAATCAAAATCCGTGACACTGGTTTGGTGGAAGAAGAACACTCTATCGTATAAAATCGAACATGTATTTCTTACCAGCTTGGACATCTAGAAAGTAATCTGCAAAATTTTAAAAAAATTTAGTTCGTTCATTATAAAAAGTAATCAAATTGTAAGGCACAATCATTTCCAGGATGTGTTTTAATATCCAATCTGTTTCTTTATCTGCTAATTCATCTTCCTCCTCTGAATTTTTGATATTAATCTGTCTAATCATTTTTCCAATTTTCCTATTCGTTTCTGTTTAGTATAATAAGCTTGTACATTCCTTTGTAATGTATTCGAACTTTACAACATTACAGGTCTGGAACGTTAGATATAGGAATGTTTTCTCGTCAAGGTGACGGAGATCAGATATGCTATCTTAGAACTTACTTCTTTTTGTTATTTTTATATTTCTCTAGGTGATTCATTTTACATCAATCGATAAACTGACACTATTAGCAATGATTACACGATGGACAGTTTTGCCGAGAAGATGGTTAGGTCTAATTTCAAATAATTTTTTTTTATTTCCATTACACTCACTCAACGACGTTGTAACCTAGTGAATGTCAGAATGAAACATTATTGGTTGGAGATGACTACATATTCTGGAATGTGTCATTATTGGTGATGAGGTTTGGGTTTCTTTTTCAAACCCAGAGTGATCAAATCGACCATCAAATTAGTCATTGAAATAGAGAATAATTATCAAAATCCAAAATAAATGTTCAGAAACAATTCCATAACAGCTGTGACAATTCTCTAGGTACAAAGCAAGTATATCCCAAATGTCAAAAAGGACGAAGTTTATTGTAACATAATGAACGAAGACAATAGTTTCGACAATAGAAATAAGTTCAAACCTAGGTATCAACATTTTCTAAGCAAGAAGCCAAAATCCAATCTTAAATTATTTACGATTAACGATAAACAACATTTATTGCTCAATTCTAAAATATATTAAAAATTGAAATCTATAGACATATGCGGTATGGATGGAATTAGATACATGTTTTGCAACCATACACAATAATGTACGCCTCAATGTTTGGAGAAAATATCATCACTTATTTTCGTATATTTCTGTATGTATTTTGATGAATTTCCCTTGATGTTGATTGTCAGATCTACCGTTCGTTGTGAACATACATTCCCTGCTACAAGCATCACAACTACTTCTTTTTAAATACCTTATATCTACGCTTTTGTATTTTTGGCATCCATAATCGAAAGGGAAGATAATGATTCAATGCTGGTTAAAAATACTTTCATCATCATTTAACCAAATAGAATCTTTCATTAAGAAAAGTTGAGTATTTCTTAACTATCTTGTTAATTCTTCATCCATGGGACATTATTTACGACGATTTTAACATGTCAAATAATAATCTATAAAATATTTAACAGATCGGTGGTAAATATTTTATAAATTTATTCAGTTCCTCTTCAAAAGTATTGGCAACCAAAAGGTCGTAAATATGGCAATTAAAAGATGTTACTAAGTTACCAATTTTTTTCTTGTCGCGAAAAAACCCATTTTCCCAAACTTGTTGAACCATATCTATTGTAAATGAGTATGTTAGTTAACATGTAAGATCTTTGATAAATTTGTTGCGTTCTGAGAGTTTCTGTTTATGTATATGAATGATAATTGTAAGCGTTTTACGGAAAAAATATCATTTTCAAACACATTTCTTAATAATTTTAATCGTTTTTATTAAGCAGGTGCAGCAATCTATCTTCTTTATTTGGCTAGTTTTCTAGTGATGAGTAGAATTTTCATATGAAATAGCGTACTTCTCCGGTTGGACTCATAATCACGTGGACATAATCTTGGCAAATATCAGATGTTTCCTGAAGGACACTTCTGTTATTGCTAATGAAGTATTTTTACGCTAAATGCATATTTCGCCTCCTTAGGAATCAAAGATGAAGACGAAGATGAGACTGGTCAGATTGAGAAACTTGTATATGTTTGGAAAATTTCACCATCATCACTAAACAACCATATCACAAATACATTAAAAGATATCTTGTAAATAATAGTTTTTTAAACTAAAAAAACCTTAGCGCTAAACAAATATTTCACAAATTTTTGGAGATTAAATAATATCTACCCTTATATTTTTTCCAAAACATATGTAACAGATCTTATTCTAAACACGTATATTTGTTGGTTTTATGTACAAAGGGTAATAATAGGCAGGGAATATATTGCGTCACGGAAACATCTTAACATTGAACAATCAACATGTCATCATTTCCTTACCAATGTTTGCGTTTGAAACCAATATTAAAACCCACTTACTTGATTAAATATAAGAAATATATAGTCTAAGGGAATGGACGATATGAGGTCTAGGAAAAACCACGTCCTCAAGTAGTGCTTGGCAATAAGTTTCGGATCTAGGATCACTTGTTCTGCGTTATCCTGTTGCATTATACCTAATAACACAAGAATAAAATTAATAAACCTGAAATGATAAATTGGTTAAGATGTGGAAATTGAAAATATTACCTGTTCTAAAATTGACAACGATATCGATTAGGAATATTGTATCGGACAAACAGTTGAAGGCAATCCATCGAGTACTTAAGTCGTCATTGAAAAAACTAATGGCAACCGGCAATATGATAAGATTTGCTACCAATAACAGTAACATGCATAAGTCCCAATAAAATCTGAAAAGAGAAAGATAAATAGGTACTACCGAAGTATTCCAATTAATTTAAATTAGTTAAAAGTTCATAAACTTTTCAGTAGTCAATGTAATAATTTAAACCCGCTCTCTATACAGGAAACCTTAACTTGAGCTAGTTTAATTAATTTTAGCTCCTTAATGAGATTATAACTTCAGGTATTAATAATTGGAAGGTACAGGTCCCTTTTTCTTTACAGACCAGTTTTCCACATAATGGCTCGTTAACTTTGAAGTGTTAAAAAGTTTTATGTCCTTCGGACCGTTAAGGTTATAATGGTTTACGAGAAGGGTAAGAAATTCCTGAAGGTATCGTTAAGATTTTTGATGAACAACTATTTTTATTAAGCACACAAAATAAGTACATTGTTGGATAATAAAGATATTTTGTAGTAAATTTTTAATACCAACTCTTCGAAGAATACATGGAGTCAAGGTCGCGACGTATACTGCCAATTATAATAGAATATTGATACTCTAACCCTCTCTATTAACCCTCTAATCTAGTAATATAAGTGAAAGATGTTTTCTTTATGAAAATTTAACTTAAATGACGCCAGCACGACGTCAGGTCGCTAGGTTACACAGGTATTAAAAACACAATTAAGGTCGATTCCGTGGTTTTCTTTGACGTTAAGCTTCTTGTTCTCGAGCAAGAACAGCTTGAATATTAAAACATCCATATTTCATCATCAACCAGACGCGGAAACTTGACACATTAAACTCAAATTCTTTTTTAATACATTAATTTTTATGGTATCATAAAAGTTTCGGAGTCTCCTAAAAACATGGCGACCCAATTAACGAATCTCGTCATATACCTACGCGGCGGCTACTGTTTCCGTTTTTCAGCTTTCACGTATGTAGGAGTTATTTTTTTGTCGACGAGTCGTTTTCATACCTGTGCACCGTGTAACAGGCACTCTACTTTATCCAGGAAATTACAGCCCCCATGGGCTATTGTTTATTTTATTGGATACCAGCGGATTGAAACTGCCCCAAAACGAAGCGGTTGCCGCCAAATTTATGGATGCATCTATTTCGCGTTTCACATGACAGATACAGGCAATGGATTTATATTAATTGAAGCGCTTGTCGTATTTCGCATAATCCTCTAACGGGAGCTATATCAAATTTTATCAGTGAAAATTATGATTGATGTTAACCCATCCCCATTTTCGAATTCAACAACCTAAACTGTATGGATTTCTTCTGCCGCATTGCATTCATCATTAAATCACGTCAACACTATCTGTAATACCCTAATCTTTGTCTAACTAAATTAATTGAAAAACTTACCAAAAAAAGTGTCAAACAAAATGTATACATATTTTTGTATTAATATCATTTCCATGGACCTGTTGCATTTTAAAAATAAAACAATTGTGTCGCTAAAAAAAGATTTTTTTAAAACTAAAAAATCAAAATTACTTTGCAACTTAATAGATAATTGGTTCAAAATAGAGTAGATTAATGTAAATTTGAAATTCTGTCTCTTCTTGAATTCATTCTTCTTGAACGCAGTTTTCTTCATTTAGGATTTAGTTAGTTAGATATTGTGCCTAAACTGCGAAGTTAGGAACACTACGAGGAATGACTTTTTACCGCTGTGAATTTTTTAAAACTTATACAGGATGATTCATAAGTAATGGGCCAAATTGTAAATGTACGTTCAGGAGGCCAAAATAATAATATTTTCATTAACAATAATGGGTCTTAGTCTGCTCCTTACTGAGATACAGGATGTTAAAGCGAAAAAAATAAAATAGATTTTTGTTAATAGATCAGCTACTTTTCTACATAATGACTCATAGTTGACTTATAGTTTTTGTAAGGGTAANTGTCTCTTCTTGAATGCAGTTCTCTTCATTTACGATTTAGTTAGTTAAATATTGTGCCTAAACTGCAAAGTTAGGAATACTACGAGGAATGACTTTTTACCGCTGCGAATTTTTTAAAACTTATATATATGGTTAAAACATTAAGATAGTTTGAGACCAAAAGGATGAAGGCCAACCACTTTGATGAAAAAATGGTTAAAATCCATTTAAAGCCATATTTGATTGATTAATGTTTAATGACAGCGGCTCGATAACTCATTGTTAGTACGTAGTTGTACGTGTTAGTACGTAATTAAATTGTCTAAACATGGCAATATTTACCTTTGCCAGGCCGCGTGGGGGCTATCTGATTCCCTAGTGGTATAAAATTGTATAGCACAAACTGCCCAGGCGGTTCGTTCGATGGACCAGCACTCCGACAATCGGAAAACCAACGAAAAAAGCAAAAATACCTAGTAAACGGCCTCGGAAATTGGATAGTCAAAAAAATAGACGATATAGCAAACGGAAAAGAACGCTAATTGTGAATGGAAATGAAGTAACCGCGGAGTTAAAAAAGATATAGTCACTAAAGTAAACCATTTTTAAACGATTATCCGTTTTGATCAGGAAGAGAATCGTAAAGTAAATCAAATATTGAGACTATAGATAAGTGCAAGGGTAATTAATGTGAAATTACACTGGAAAACAGTATTAGCTCAACATCTTAGGTATATATGCTCCAACAGATAACTCATATGACGACGTAAAAGGTGAATTCTTTGAAGATCTGGCAGAGTTAATGCAACAAATTAATAGCCGATAAATACGTGAGACGGCCGCTGAAGCATTAGGCCCAGAGTACTACACGAAAAGCAGACCTGAATGGTAACGGAACACATTATAGAATAGAAGAAATCCTATCAAAAATGGCACTCAATAGGTAACCCAAGAGATAAAAAACAATATGCAACACTGAACAGGAAAGTAAAGAGAATAGTTGCCAGGCGAAAGACGAAATAAGGAATCAACTAGAATTAGTGAAGCATGGATAATCAGACAAAGAAACAAGTAGAATTAAAATAATTACCATGAAGGACAGGGTGTATTATTATCAGGCACTGTTGAAGGAAAATAGAGTGGAATTTGTACAAAGTAATGTATGTAAGGAAACGGAATACATCTTATTGGATAATGCTGAGGATATAATAACGGAAAATCATCCGGATCGGGTAATATACCTACTAATTACTAAAACTGAACAACTAGCTGAGTTACTAGGACACATATTTAGTAACTTCCTAAGAGGAGAAGACATACCAAAAGTATTGACTACTGCGAATGTTAGTACTATTTATAAGGGTGATAAATGAAAATTATGTTCTAACTACCGAAGGATAAGTGTCACTAGCACCATCTCTAGAGTGAATAGTAGAGTCATTAAGCAGCGAATTGAAAACGAATCCCAAGATGAAGAAGATCAATACGACTTCAGGGCTGGCAGGTAGTGCATCGATAGTATCTTACTACCTTGTCTGACAAAAGCATGTGACAGTGACCTCTTGGAAAGCTGTGAAGTGCTATGAATAATCAGGAAGTTAGGAGTAAGTATATGTGAATGTTGTACAAAATCTCTATAATAATATGACGGGCATAATAACGAACGGACCCATTTCTTATTACTAGAGGACTTATCTAAAGATGCTGTACAGCCCGGATTGAATGAAGGAAACAATGTTTTAGTATGGGAGTATCTATAAACAACGCCAAACTTTTCACATTACATTTCGATCAGGAGGAATGTTGATAAGTGATATAACGATGTGTGATATTTTTCCAAAAATTTTTGTGCGATACTCATAAAAAAATATTAACAAATATTGCTCCCATTAACGTTAGTTTATGCGATTAATGACTAAATATGCGGAATTTTAAATTATCGATTAATGAATTATGAAGTCTAATGACCTTATATTTTAGAGAAAAAAATTAAATTTCCCACAGTTTCAAAAGGGTATAGAAACATATTTTATCGGTAGTGATTTGTTATATACCTAAAAATTAGTACTTCTTTTGATAATGCTAATTGAGATGTAGCTTTTTGCAAAGTGAGTATGAGGAATTTATTCGAATGGCGTGAAACGAATGTGTCTCCAGGTTGTTAGCATGTAAACAGCCGCTGAATACGTTCTGAAAGCTTAAAATTGCTTTCATGAATTGCGACCCTGCCCCCGAAATAACTACAATATAAATGGAGCTTGCGCGATGAACTACCATGGCAATTTGAGGAAGGTGAAAAGGATCTGTTTAGATTGCTAAACGAAAAAACAAAAAGGAAAAAACTATTATCAAAACACTTGTGGCTTGAATACAAAAAAAGGTCAACTGCTACCTAATATCTGATATTTTTATTATCTCTCGGCTACAGTAACTCTGAAAGCACCAATAAATTGTGTCCCTAATGGCACATGTATAGAATGCTTGGTGTCATGTGGATGTACTGGCACGCCAGTTGTAATATAAGTTTAGAGAGAATAGTTATGCAATATTCGCGGTACTGTTTCCGTCGAGTTAATCGTGTCTTACGTCAAGTTGACCTAAAGAAAACGTCGAAATTATTATAGTAGATAGTTTCTGTTAAGGTGGAACTGGAAAAGTCTGATACTACAAAATTGATGAACAATATTGAAACTTTATTTGAAATTTTAATATGCTTGTTGTCATACATTAATTAACAAATGTTAACCATCGATGACGCGTAGTTGCAATTCCTATAGTAATCAATGTGTTTGAAATTGTTGATACAGTTCAAACTACATTGACAGTGTTTGCCATAATAATAACATAGTGTCTTTTAGAGTGATTTTCAGCTAAACTTGATCTTAGTATTGGATATGTAATTGTTGATTAACTGATATGTCACCGGATGCGCATTGTAAGTGTGTTCAGAAAGTCCTGCATTTCCATATGGATGGGTGTAACAGTAACATGCTTATTTTAAATACTAACAAATGTTATGCACTTACATTTACTTCCAAACGTTATTATTGGATCGACCACGATTCATGCTGGTCAACCAACGTTTGTAGTTAACTCGTGTTGTAACGGTTAGGAACTTAGGGTTTTGATAGTGAACATATATTTAATCACCATATTTATAAAT